TAGCTTTATTCAGATGGGTCATAACTTATGCTTTACGACCCATCGCAGCTCATATCATTTAATTGTGCGGATATTTTTTTCGACTAGTTTCTTTCGTTTATTAAAGGGTGTGATGTTAATTTGGTTCTTATTATAATAAAACTTATTACAACTGAGATTACAGCTGGCAGTGTCTGTATATCTGTCCAACAATGGGGTGCATTTTTTATTTTCGTCATTTCGTCGTTCTTTTTTTCAATACATGTCCATAAGTACGTCGTAATGGCTACATTTTGGTAGGATTTTCATTACAAATTTTTTCCCCCGATAAATTGGCAGCCAAAAGCTAGCATGGAGGTCAATATAGGGGTCTTTCTTCTTATACGCCGAAGGTTTTTAATGAGCTAAATTAAAATGCTAAACATGTTCTTATACCCCAAACGCCAGCTTTCAATTGAAAAATTCTGATATGATATCTGGATAAACATTTAACATGGTTTCGTAAGTAAGCGAGATTTTTCGTTGCCAGTTAGTAGATTTTGATGAGGCGAGTAAAAGTTCTGTACATATGCCTATACCAAAAGTGGGTCTTTTAGATTGAAAATAGAAAAACACCTGACATCTGCCTTGTGGCACTGAAATGAAAATTTGTTTCGAGAGAATTTTTTCAAGAGAAGAAACGGTGTTTTTGCGAATTCTTGATAGTTCCAGCTCCTGATATGACGCAATGGAAAACCATTTTTTTCTAAAAAAAAATGGGGGATTTTATGACAGAAATACCAAAACATTAAGAGCATTTTTTTTTATTCAAGATACTATCTCTGTGCCGTTAATTGTTCTCTTAACAAGCTTTCTTTCAAGCTAACGAGGGATACATCTTTCCCTAGTTCTAAAAGATGTTTCTACATGAAAAAATACGCAAGTGTGTCATTGGGACTAAAGTCTTAGAAAAAAACAAACTTCTATATAGGGAGGTATTTCTTACTACTAATCGAAACCTCTCGATGAGTCGAATCGGAATTTTATATATGACCATACACCTAAATTTCAGTTTTCGGGTCAAAAGTGCCGTTTCAAAAATGAGAACTTAATTAAGTGGTCCTTTTCTTGACGTCAATCGATATTTCTTGGTGAGCCGATAGAAATGCAATACATGTTCCTATACGTGAAATAGGTGTTTTTAAGTTAAAATGGTTTTATTAAAAAAGTTTTATGTTAAAATAAATATTAATTCACCTATGTAGCAAAAAATTCCCTAACTCCTTTTCTGAGAGAAATGCTTAACATTTGATGATGTTAAAACTTGAAAAAGTTACAGAAAGAGAATAAATATGTCAACGAGGGTATATCAAATATTTGTGTCTTCAATATAATACATGTAATAATCCATTAACGAAAACAAATAAGATAAAAAAACTTAAACCTTATTGAGGTCTCAAAAAAATCAATACATCAATCGAAGCAAAGTCAGTCGGTTAACACTAAAACAGCCCTGTGATCAGATTGTAGAGATATATCAAAAATCAACATATTATGAGCTAGACAAACCTAAACTTAGCTGAGCCCTTACCATATACTAAAACAGACCGGTGAGAAAAATAACAGGTAAGGTGAGAAAGAATCATTGCAACGAGATTACTGTTAACGCGTACTAAATCTGTTGTTTTAGATTAGGTGAATTAACGACAAACAAGGCACAAAGTGAAGCTGTGGATCCGTCTAACATATTATTAACTTTGTGTATGTGTGTGTGCTTAAATCAGGCTCTTAGAGTGGTCAGATTGGCTAATTTTTTTTTCGCTAAGTGGAGCCGATTGGCTAAGTAAATGCACTGACGTGGAGTTTCTTCTCATTGAACGTAGAGTTAATATTTTTTTGGCTTGACAACAACTGAGAATTTCTAAAAAGATTGTTGCAAAGATGTTTATTTCTCAAACTTTACAAAATATGGCGAGATCTCCTATATTACAATATCTTTCGTTTCAGCAATTAAATCGTAATTTTTACCCATATGGTTCATAATTTTTACAACAGTATGAACTGTCACAGTTTATATTGTTTGATTTCGCAAATATTTCTCTTCAAACGGATCGTCTTCCTTATATGGGAAGCATGATGCTCTTCTAATTAATCTAGAAAATTATTAATGATTTATGAACCTTCTTAGTATATATGATTAATCTCCTTCAAATAGATGAGCACTTTTTTCTGGAAGCCACGAAGTATCGGGATTATGAAAGCATTCTGTTGGCACAGCGGGACTAATTGTAGCAGGGCATGAAGTCGGAACTAAACAAGTTCTTAAATTGCACGGCTGAAGATGAATTTTCCATGCTTATGTTTGTACTGGAAATATCAAAGAAAGCTGAGTTTTTCTCTGAAGCAGGATATATGCAATATGTTAGTGAATGAATTGAAAAAAGTAAAGAGGTTACTGGGGCATTCTAATGAAGAAGTGGAGCTATTCTAGTAGGCCAACCGACCACTTCTGGAACAAAACGACAGAATATGGTGTTCCAACAGGAAAACTGCAACGGGATAACAACGGGTGAGTTGTAAAGCAATAATTTATATTAGGCTGGATGTAACATGCACAAAATGTTTCAGCGGGTTAATGAGATAACTGCAAGGTAACAATAAAACTTTCTAAACATTTCGATACGAGGAGAATCGGAACTAAATGGCGTTGGTCTGTATAAGGATATGTTAAGTGATAACGCGAAATAAATCATATTAGCGGGGGCTACCTATATTGCTATTTACTCAAGTTTGCATAAAGTTGGGTACACATAAAGAATTTGAATTAATTAAATCAATACTAAAATGAGAAGGGGAGGCCCATTTAATATATAACTCAAAGTCTATATCTATCTGGGTGTGTCTACCATAGGTTCGTTAAATTGGTTTGATTTTCCTTGGGTTTTATCCTAAAGTCAGCTGTGCATAAGATGAAAGTAATGCTGCTTCGTTGAAGAATTGTTTCTTGTTTTCATAACCTTAGACAAATGGGTCATTTTTACGATTGGCTCAACCATCGTAAGAAATTGGTGAAAACGTTATATTAGATAATTGTTTATTTTACTAGATATACAAAGTAGGCGCATAAATGGATTCGAGTAATTTTTTATGTTTTATATTTTTACTACTGAGCAATAAAATGTGTGATTTTTTACCTAAATGGTTTATATCTAAATAAATATGAGTGATTACAATTTGCTTTTTCGGGAAGGTACTCCTTTTTCCGTAAGACGTGTAATAGTAACCTTGTTAATTTGCGAAATGGCTGATTGGATATCAACCATATGTGATGGTTGTTATCCAGTAATGATAAATAGTTTTTGTAGAATCAAATGAAAGCAAGCTCAGTAGTTTCTTTAGGTAGCACGTAGCGCACTAACGTATTAACTGCGAGTAGATCACTAGATTTTTCCACTCAGAAAGCGGAATCACCAGAGTAATCAATATTTAGCGGAAAATAACTATACAAAGCCAACGGGGTCACCGATATCAAGTAAAAACATGATCTCTCTAACGGTAAAGCGAGATAATGGAATTAAAATACAGTTAGGTCTCATGGAATATATATACAACATTTTGATGATTCTAGAGTTTCATTCTGGTAGGAGTTACGCGTTAAGTACAACTTTTTTTTACGGAACATAATGCTAATTTAGTTAGACTATTTTTTCATAAAGATTTTTTCAATGGTTCTTGAAAATTTTTAAAAGATTATTCGCAGAAATTATGTGAATATTAAAAGATTGGGTGCAACACTAAGTTTGAAACGAACTGTTCGATTTTGCACTGTTTTTACCTGTAAAACCACTGTGATTTCTACCAAATTAGCTGGAAATAGACTTGGTACATATCGTCAACGTATAGAATCAAAACTTATGAAGAAATTGTTGTGTGCCTGTAAAAAAAACACGTGTAAAGACTTTTTGCAATAGAAAGTGATTTCTGAAGTAAATTCATGTATCGACTGAATCAAAGAGACAAAATTGTTGCTGCAGGATAGCTATCGCGGCATAACAAAGTTATGCTCCTGGATCTCTCTTAAGACAATCGCAACCGTTAAGGCGTAGGTCTGCATTCAAACTAATTTATTGTAGATGAGACGCAACGTGAATCAAATTTGTCCCTTGTAGAACAGGCTCATGGAATAACTTGGATTAAGTTGGACAGGGTTATTGCAACAGGAAAATTGTTGATATACACCATAACCTACATCAGAGGGTAATATCAACAAATCAAATTAGTTTAATTGATAACAAAGTTGATGCAGAATAGAAATCTGCGGTGCAGTCCAGCACGTGCTATTATATTCCGTTGGATGGTTTTTGCGTCATCAAACATACGAATTTATTAAATCCATATTTTCGACGTTCAATATTTTGCTAAGTGTCTTAAAAATGTGATCGTAAAATGTAAACGTTTGTGCATTTTCTGGGAATCTCATTCTCTTCAGCCATATACTCTACAGTTAGTTTTCAAACGAAGTAGAAACATGGTGTACCAAAAATAGCCTTAGAGAACGTAGCGGGAGAGAAGAGTTTGTTCTGGGGCTTATTATTGCTTCACGCTTTGCTAATCTAGCGATCAGTATACTCAATTATATTTTACCGTTATTATTAATTATGAATATTATTTTATTTATTATTATTAATAATATATTATTTTATCGTTATGCCGTTAGTGTGTTTCGGTTCACTAATAAATTATATACATTTAAATGAACGTTTAACGACGAACACTACAAGAACAAGAATAGGGTTTACAATAGAATATGTTTTGTGCGGGTTATCGTCTTGTGTTCCTGAGCTCGTCTTAAATAATGCATCAACAAATTATATTCCATCGGTTACCCAAAAATAACTGATACAACATTTATCTCTTAGAGAAAGTAGACAACAAAAACTAAAGGAAAGATGTTTAGTATTTAAAACGTATGCAAAATTTAAAAGACGTAAATGAATAATATGGATTCCTCTGTCATTACTTGATGAAATGAGATATGTTATTTCGGTTACACTTATGGTCAACATTTTATTGCTTTAAGGAAAATGTTTTATGTTCTTTTCCTTTTTCTTTTTGTTTCTTTTTATGTTCTTTTTTTAAAGAGTTTACTTATCATCATCTTCGATATTGGCCATCATTTCCATACGCAAACCCATAGTAATCTTTGCCCATTCGTTTATTACGAATAAGGTAGTGGCCAAAAACGCCTATCCCGACAGGAATTATGCCTAATGCGAAAAGATGACTGTCGCTCCCTTTGTATTTTCCTACCACGCCCCAGACTGCAGCCGTTGGCATCACGGCGCCCGTAATTGCCAAAACCAATAACACCTGTAACAATAAAACGAAACAACATTTGAAAGAACTGATATATCTGAAATAAGTTAATAATTTCCGGCATAGAAAAAAATTATTTCAGATGGTTAGAACGTAGGGGCATTTAACATTGCAGGGCTTTGCCGCTTAATTTAAGCTCTAGAGTAAAATTTTTGCTTCTTTTCGATTTTCAAAATGGAATACACGTAGAATTAATCTAATATACATAATAAAGTGCATGCTAAAAAGGTGCAAGCAAAAAAAAAGAAAAAGCTAAATTCCAGCATACAGCATGATTATACATCCATAGTGTCTCCACTGTATAGTGCATCCTGCAAGCGTAATTATTTCAATTCAATTTTCCAAGTTACATACAACTTTTTACAAAAAAACTAACAACAAATATGTGTAAATATATCCGTAATACACAATTATTGTAAAGCAAGGATCACATGTGTCAATTAAGTGCCCTTTCTCGATAAACCACTCAATTCTCTCAGTGCCTTTAACCTTTATGATGTCAAGGTTGCGCACCTAGGCTTCCTGGTTCTGCTAGAGGTCATTACTTTAGATCCCATCATTCAACCTGTGTGCATAAAGTGGGCTTTGTAGCTTCCTAAGGCAGGCCGAAGAAGTACAGAGCGTCCAAACACACGTCCAATTCGTTGAAATAATAACTATTGATTCCTCAAAAAACTCACAGCTTGGTAGGCACCTGAAAAACTATATTTTTTGTCTAGTTTCGTTTTCTTCTTCTATACTCTTTTTCCAACTATTCAAAGCGGTGGAATTGCCGGTAAAATATATTGCCCTGTTCAGGTAACAAATATTAGTGCAATATATTTATAGATCCTAAGTGAGACCGATATAACTAAACGATGTGATATAAAAACGTTGGCCCCGATTTCTACTCCGGATCTTTTAAAACGCTTATTACCTGACTAGGTTTTTTAGGAGAACTTCTGTCCTCTTTCGTAGACATAACGCACTAGAGATGAAAAAAGTTGTTTAAGCTTAATCTGCGTTGCCACTGGCGAAAAACTGTCTTAACTGGCTTCAACTTACTAGCTTAACGCGGAAGGAGGAAAACTACCACATATGTTGGTTCATTTGAATTACAGTCGTTTGAGAATTTAGGTGCATGTTGGTGCAAAGCGGTCTAAACCTGCATCGCCTAAAGCTGGTTTTAAGACAAACTGTTCAAATCAAATATTGTTCTGTGAAGTTTATTCAAATCATATTGCGCGACCTCAGACTATGCATAAAACATAAAAACCTAATTGTTTTTTTAATAGAAAATTCAAGCTTACTCCAATAAAGTGCGTGGCTAACGAAAAATGCAAATGTAAACTATGCTTCACTTCATGCGAAAAATATAGTTTTTGTTTTTTTGTATATGATATAATTGTTATCTCTTTTTATACTGACAAATCCAAATACGAATAGATAGATTCAATAGCAAGTCAACAAGCTAGTTGTGAAAGAAATCACTGGCACGTTTATTTATAACCCTAATCAAGTTAGTACCTGTGGAACGGGGCGGGCGCAGCATAACTTCAGCAGGGTAAGGAAATAACTGCAGTGGGTTAGTAGGCAAAGTAACCTGTGTTTTGAAATCTGAATTTTGAAACAAGATAACTGCAATAGAAGTTCACGTTAGGTAATGTTTAATATAAAAGCCAGTACTATAAAACGGCTGTCGCAACAAAAGTCCGACGATTACTTAAATTTAATACGGTTCGAAAGCAGCTGCGGTCTAATTAATGCTTAAATTTACGAAACGCAGAACATACGTTTTATTGTAATCGTTTTCTACAATGAAAAAATTACTGGTAATTTTAATATTAACATGATATTTTGACGCGTACACTTAAAAACAGTATACTAAAAGAAGGAGTTATATTTATTCTCACCTACTATCTTCTTAGACCCTAGAAGGTGCCGATCAAGCAATTTATACCTCGTCTTGATTTATCAAGATACTGATAAATAACGTACCCTGGTTGTTTTAAGAAGTGGTATAGTATTGGTTTGGGCCAATAGTGCAACGATGTTACGTTTTTGGCATCTAATTAAAAATTCCGCTTAAGTTTCTATTCGATTTGGAAAATCACTTTTGCGGTCAAGGTTTCTCAAAAATAAAATTCTACAAAAAATTTAAATTCATCTTTCTCAAACATTTAAAACAACAACAGATCTATATAACAACGTTGAATAGGTGCTAGCGGTCTTCGTCCACCGATTAAAGAAGCATACATTATTTGAGTACAAATGGTAATGAATGGTTACAGCATACATGAGTCAACCCGCTAACTCATTCAAAGATTATACATTGTTGTACCTTGATACGTAATATCTAATTTCAGCAATATGACGCGATCGGTTCGTAAAACCCTTAGTACGCACGAAACATGTGGTCAAAGTCTTAAACAGCAAAACCCGTCACAACATGTTAGTGATTGCCGTTGGATCTTTTCCACGCAATCCTGTTTATATAGATCCTGTCTTGGTGGTATTAGGGTCAGCTTCAATGATCTTTCTCCACCTTCGGCCATTATGGACATTGTTTTCGTCTAATTTGAATCAAACCTGTTCATCCTCGATTAGCGGTAGAGTGTACACAAAAAACATACAAATTTCTTTCGTTTACTGAAGTGAAAACTCATCATATCGTCTGAGAAAAATCTTTCGGGCAGGTTGAAGATTTTGAATCCTTCATTGGAGAGATACATCCAGGTGATCGCGATTCTATACTCCATTGTAGAGGCAATCTTTATGTTAAACAGCTACATAGCAGTGTACGACTTATCATGTTATTGATGCTATGAAAATATAATATAGAAAATAGCGAAATAGAGAATACTGACCTGTCCTTCGAAAATTCGGCACGGAGTCTAGACTAAAAAATTATGGTACTAGTGAGTGCACTAGAGATGGAACTTACCATATAGCAGTTGTACACTTCCATTATATTCTTCTTCAACGAAAGGATTGCGTCTCAACAAACGGGGTCCGAATTGGCAGACATGGATCTGCACTAACCGACAAAGACGGCGTCGCATGACAGATTGACCAAATATATTTCAGCGGCATTTTCGCCCTTGACCCTCGCTCCGTCTTGCCAACTTCCATCGCTGCAATTTGTATTATTTCGCCTCTTCTCATTCACAAACAGTACTGATAATTCGCAAACATTACGAACATTCTTGGATGCGCTTTCCGCTGCGAGATTTTAATAACATAAGTAACAATTACTATAATAAATTGTCAGGTAATAACATATAATATCAAAAACATATTTAGCAACCGCATTATCTAAAAGCACTTGTGTCTACTGAGTGTGGTTGGTATAAGCATGTTCACTTAATTATGAAAGAAAACTTACGAAACAGTCAACAGCCGAAGTAGTACGAAAATAAGTAATCCGAAATCGTAAAAAGAGTGACAGGCGACAAATTCATAGCGAAACTAAACCTCATAGTATTATTCAAACCATGTGTGCCATAATAGATTGTCATTGTGATATAAGGCCTCTCAATTTTAATCCAGTTAATATCGACAAGGTAACTGCTATTACCTATGACTCCATTCCAAAAGATAACTTATTTGAAAACAGTTGTTTTGAACTTACTTGAATTTTACCTATTTGTGATGTTGGCTTAGTGCTAGATCTAATACTGATACAAATTCTAGGTTAATGCAGCATTCTCTATAACACTCCTTAGTGAAGCAAATCATAGCTGTTTATTCTGACATCTTCAGAGGGTCTCCTGTATTTCTGGTGCAACCGCCTCAGAAACTGTAAAATCAGTTGTGAGCCAGTAGTTGCTTACCTCAATATAATAATTGGAGTGAATGTTTTTTTTCTGTAGCTATGCTTGTATGAGCGATGTTGCTCAGGAAGATTGTAAAGTGCTATACTTGCTGACTGAAAAGTCTGCAAAATCAAAGTTCTGTCGTAATTAAAAACGAAATTGATTCTGATCTTTCTAGGTCCAACATTTAAACCCACAAAATGATGACAGCTAAAATTAGGGTATTAATACAAACTAGACTGGATTTCTAAGATGTCCGTTCACTTTTCCATTATGCTAACAATCGTTCAAACGACGCGTCTTCGTCGATTTTGGAATCATCCAGTTACACTGCTCTTTGCAACATAAATTAAGAGAATCTATTTACTGAACTTGTCTTTGTACCGGCCACCTGCTTCTCCTTCGCTAGTCCCTTTTACGTTCATAAATGAGTTTCACAATCGTTTCTATCATTTTCCCGCATTACAGGTCTGAATTTTAATTAAAATTAAATGTAATAAAAAAAAATAACAAAGCGAAGAAAAACTATATCTTCGAAAAGATAGGCCCATTTTCCCAAAATAACTTTTGAATCATATTGTGCCTTATTTACTCCGGTGAAGTTTGTCATGTCTATTGCACAAAGAAGTTGTCACAATGAATGTTGTAAATTTCAAGCCTTTATGGCAACGTTCGAGCACTTGCAGCATTTATAAAATATTTTAGCGATTTGTACTTTTCCCATTAAACAATTTTCTTGTCAATCCAGAATGATAAAGCTAAACTATAACCTAAAAACAGCTATCAATATATATTTTTCAGTTATCGATTATCATTTGACTTCACCAAATTGATTTTAGTCAACAGCGTTTTTCTTTGTTTATCATAAAAAATCTTAATGTTATATTCATTTTTACAAATCAAATGTCTTCTGCATTCCATCTAAAAAAATATATGGAGTTACTTCAAAACGTTCAAAAGGATTTTCTTTGATGGCTCTGGCATTGTACAACAGAAAGAGCTAAATTTCCTTGCCTTCTATTGTTTCACCTACTGCAGTAGCAGTGTGAGTGAATCCAAACAGCACATCCTATATAACGCAAGAAATAACGTATTTACCTGTTATACTTAGAGACATGCGGTGGTCTAACTTCGAGTATAGACATGAATACCTTTCGTTTTTTGCTGGGCAGTAATCCTTCGTACTGAACCTGTAAGTAGTGTTTACACATAAAGAATGTCCAAATTGTTGTACGAACATAGCTCCCCTGTCGATCTCATACATAATGCCGTAGACAAATAATTCTGGTCGTACATTGTAAATTTCCACTACCGTACCCTTTGACATAATAAACGTAGATTTGATATAAATTAAATTATTATTTTCCAAAAGGCTCCACAAGGGCATAAATCGAAAAATTTGTTTCTCGCACAATGAACCTTGTTTTAGCAATGACGATGATATGACAGAGAGCAGTAAGCGTTATTGCCAAACAAGTTTTCTCGTCAGAGTCTTGAATGTGTCATATTGGACCTAATTTATACGTATTGAGTAGAAGCTTCCTGACAACATCGTGGGAATAACAATAATAATACCATACCAATTTGGCTGCGTCTCACTAAAAGGCAAGAGTTTATTCTATGAAATGTGTTATTGTTTTCGAATCTAACCTACATCGACTAATACATGCATTACTTTTATCGGCTCTTACAGTAGGATCCATATCCTAGGTTCGATTAATTTTTTTGATGATGATTTTTTTGCAGGCACATGTCGTTCGATCCATATATGGCAGAAAATATCCACGATATAGTGTAATCTATGCTAATATAGCGAGGTGATACAGTGGTGCTGACAGATGGTAAAACTGAATCAAGTCAAGGGTCTTTAAACTATGTCAACCCTTAATAAAGAACTTAGTCGGTTCAGAACCTTCCACGCCGCTCCTGCTTGTCTCTTGTTAGAAACGATAAAATAATGTTATGCAATCTTTAATGTTATGCATCATTAAAAGAACCCGGATTTTATCTGCATGACCCGTCACCAGTTCTCTCCAATATATATAAAGACAACAGCATCTTACCGGATACATTGGTGCTGAGAAATCGCAGTGTTCAATGCACTTACTATTTATATATGTATGCAGGGTATAGCAAAATACATCCGATCCTCTACTAGAATATTCGGATCGGATTTATGCTGGCTCATTTGAATCTGTTCAGATTATGATCTCATAAATGGCATTCCTATATTTCTCTTAATTACTTTAAAGCCGCCATTTCCTTGAACCATTTCTCATTTATGACCCATTAAAATCGCTTTAATTTTCGATAAAGAGGTATTTAAACCAAAACACACACAATAATTGAGACTAGACAACAACCGATATCGAAAACAACAGGCTTCATATAAGCTTGTCTCCTGAAACGATGAAGGTTTGGAGCGCCTATAATCTTCGCATCTGTGTTGTCCCGGTAGGTTGAATACAAAAATGTACTCATTATGTCGCTAACACTTAATTTAACACAGGAGAATAATTCTGAATCTCTATTTAGACTACAACCGTGAGTTAACAGCGTAAAGTTAGTATTGAACGACAGTAACCCAAAAGAGAATCAGTGATAGTTGTTTAGGTGGTTTTCTTACCTGCTACATTAGCTACAATAAAGCGTTTTTAATTTAGTTGTATACATATATCCCATTGAAGTCTGGGTAAAATACGCAGCACTCACCAAAAATCCAGTGAATTTGAAATTTATGTTTACAAGAAGCCAAAAAATTAAAAAGACCAAAAATGTAGCCCAACAATATAGTTTACTCATACCCCTAAATCATCCATTTTTACTCTTATCGAGCCTCGAGTGTTGTGTAGACGCTTCAATTTTACTGGCTTTAATGGTTAGTCCAAGGCATTTCCCGATGCTTCTTGTTATAGCCGTAATCAGGCCCATTGATAACTATTTTTTTCTCGAATCAGTTCTATATAGTCTGTATCGGTGTCGCTGTTGATAACAGAGTTGTCGTTTTTAGTTGTATGTTACGGCCTAGACTTTTTGTATAGCATATTGTATCGCGAGTGTCCGAGCTGCCAGCCGCTGAGAGACACGATACCTTTTCGAGCTCCTGGTAGTGGCACTGTTTTATGTGCCTCTTTTGGCGCGCCGCCGTTTACAATCGTATTGCTACCAGCCCCAGTCAGCTTTGATAGGCCTTTTCACGCATTAACGGCCATAGCAAACTGCGGACGTCTATTTGCTGGCCAATGTCCATTACCCGATCCAGCTTTATCAGCAGACTGTAGACGCAAACTACACATACATGCAGTTTATCGTTAGCTTTATATCTTGAACGGGCTCAGTGAGTAGGCTTTGTGTATACAAATTTGTGCACTAGGAATCTATATTGATGTCTGAGTGTACAGGATATTTAATCTTTTACGTCATCCAGTTTCACGCGCATTAATAGATTTTTATAAAACAATCATTTTATACAGATTCATTACGCTCCTGAATACATCATTGCTACCAGTTTGCTTCGACAAACAATTATAAGCTTCGCTTTCTCCCTATCAAACTTTAGTACTATGCTACAAATCCTATAGTTAATATGGAAGCGTTGCGCCAGTTATCAATAGGAATAGAAGACTTTTCGCAATACCGTCTGTTTGATTTGTTTCGTCAACTCAAAGCTTCGTATCGTTGGCAACTCTCATTTGCTGTTAAACTTTTCGAGATTGGCAGAAGCATCTGCAATTGGTCAGGCCATTTAATTTATGCCTACTAAACCGATTATTTACGTTGCATTTCATACTCGCCGAAGTTATCGAATCACGATATTAAAAGGATATGGCTCATGGTACATGCACTGCCGACTAAACTCTGCTGTCAGTTTGCCTTTCTTGTTGCTAGAGCTTCTTCCGCCGCATTTTGGGCATCGTCGTGAGCCTTACTGCTTTCCTCTACTTTTTACCTAAACGATCCGTTGCTCTACATATTTCTGTGTTTTGTGCTCAGGCCTTATCACAATTATTTTCTACTGATATGTACTTCATATACCGAAACACGAGCACTCGAGATAATATAATCCCACTCGCTGAAATCGTTACGAACGAACAAACTGCCGGTGTAGATACCAGAATACATGCAGCTTTTACTGATACCATTTGTTTAATACCCATTGTTCTACACCAAGAGAGAATTTTTTTTACGGAATCAAAAGCTAGATTTTTTTACGATCTGTTACTACTACAGTCCTACACGGTGGCTAGCAGATCGTCAAAGCCGCACTACATTGATATGCTCACTTAGCACCATCCTACTTGCTACAGAAATCATGGCTGAACGCTGAAATAATTTTTTTTGTTAGTAGTAATTAATGGAAGTGATTAATTAGAACTCGTTTTCCACCCGGCTCAAAGATATGCGCTTCCCTACATTTTTATTATTGTTTTGAGACTATATATAGGCCTTCCGTAGGCCACCGTGTTATTCGGCATGACGTTTGGCTGACTTGTGGTAAATGAACTTTGTAAGAATTTGCTAGTAAGCATGCACCTAAGCAATATGGAGCCGCCTCCTAACAAACAGTAGTTAGATAATTGCAAGTCTTAACAATATGCCTCATCGGGGTTGCCTTTTGTGTGTCGTCAACAATAAGCGAATGAAACTTTTTTACTGTTTGATTTTACTTACGTGAGTTGATTAGGAATAGACCAGGTCCTACATATGTGAAAATATATATATTGTTGCATATGTAGTGTTTACTCACCAGTTGTTGTTAGTGATCAATCATCACATCGAGAATTTCCCCTTAATCTTGTAAAACCTAACAAAGTGTTACAGATATTCTATTATCACCGCACTGTGAAAAACTACGTTTACATTTGAAAAGACATGATCTTCATATTATTATGATGTCTTGATGCACTTCTGTCGTATGAAGCACATGAAAATCGAATTATTTTTATACCCGGAAGCTTACGCTGCACTTTTCACTTTTCCTCTGCCCGGTACAAGGATATAATTATTAAGTGGAGTATACATGGAAATGTGGTATGCATTAATATAGTACCCTACTTTTACAATCGCTTATCAAACTTGTGGCCCTAGTGTTAATCTTTAACGAAGGTAACATTCGATTCTCCCCTGCTACACTTGACATAAAAGGACGTAGTAGGGCTATATGTGTGTACAGATTACACTTATGTATAAGTTCTGTATATATATTATAAATACGGTGACGATGCACTTATACTGGTGAAAATTCTATTTATTCAAGAATCGCCTCTCCATAATACAGTAATAGCTACATAGTGTAAAAGTTGACGCTACCCACGATACACCTAGACGTACGGCGCAGAGCCGTCTACACTGTTTGCTGATTTTACCAATGCTCTAGGCACGCTGTGCTTCCTTAACAATGATCATGATTATCCCAAACATCGTCGAATTCTCGTGGTAATTCTGTGACGTCTGCTCTATTCATTGGAAGAGGAATTTTTGTCACCATTTCGTAGAAACATTGCGGCTGTGTTCCGTCGAACAAGGTTCGTAGAACCTTTGAGGATTCCTGCGAGCCCATGAACACGGCTGAGAGCTATATAGGGTTAATCGTGATTAAAAAAAGTTTTTCCAAGGGAGGTGAGAATCCATCTTTGGCCTATTTTTTGTAAATGGTTATCGTAAAGCAAAGTTGTATAGAAAATTGGCCGCTGCTAAGCGGTATATCAGCATTTTAAGAAAAAATGAAAGTAACTTGTGGGACCAGTATGATTTCATGTTCGAATCCGCGCGTAAAATTAATGGCAATGAGATGTCGATACAAGCCGCGCACGGCTATCCTAATGCTGTTGCATAGTTTCGCCGGGTGTGTGGCGAGAATTGAGGTACCTAAATGCTGTTGAAAAATTCAGTTGTGAATTGAATCATATCTAAAATCTGAGGTCATTTTAGACCTGACTAAATGCGCGGCGCACCGTCGCCTGCCGAGGTAAAAGATCGATGCAAAAATTGTTTATGTTTTCGATTATTGAATACGGACATGTAAAAGATTGAGGAAGTATACCTTGGTCTTTCGAACGGAAGAGGTATGTGAATCTTGTCGATTATAGCATTATACTTTTGCTTTGTATAACAATATTGGAAAGCAGAATAATAATAGCATTAACAGTTTCCGAACATTTGTTTTCATTAATGTCTAATGTATGTCGGCGGTTAACTTATGTTTCGTGAAATGTCTCCACATATGGAGGTGCTTGATGCACCCATTTTCAACATCTACATCGGTGCTGCGTCTGACAATAGAAATCGGCAAAGGTTATCGCAATGTATTGATAAGATTCCATTAAATGGTTTCTCGGTTATGCATATGTTACGTGGGGATCGGTTAATGGTCTCCAGGATTCGTGTTTAATCATGGGGCACTCGTTGCATATTGCAAGTGCAATTAGCCAAAGGAACTGTTTCACCTGTCTTTGGGTCCTTGTTACTACTATTTAGGATGTTGTAGGTAACCTAAATGGGAATCCTGAAGCGCGAGCGCACAGAATTGCTGTCAGGCATCAAGGTTACAGCGATACTTGAAAAAGCTGCAGCAAGCATCATTTTCCCGTCAGCGCTCATTTTTGCGAGGAGTAGATTAATGAGGAAAATTTTCCTTATGCCTTCACATGCGTCGACGAAAACAATGTTGCTTAGACTTAGCTCTAAAGAGGCGCAGACATCACTGTAAGTTACACTCTGGGCGTCGTTTAAAAGTCATCTCTGTGAGTATAATTTCGCGCTGCTCAACGAGGTTGTATTAGAAATACTTGGTAATTTCGGTGCTCCCTTTGACCTCTGGACGTTATTGAGAAGCGAGGTCAGAGTCGTGTAAAGCTTACCCTAAAATTTGATCGTGGGCGTCAGCGATTTGGAGCGACATAGTATGTCAGCTAGTCTTAGTTAACATATGCTATTACCCGATCCCAATGTTCATTGTTGAGGAAACGCCCCTTCTGTGGATTCCTTTGGTAGTATGGCAACATAACTTACGCCGGTTGCTTTCAATACGTCAAAGAATGTGAGCCCACGGACGTGATGGAGCAGAAAACGCAACGGTTAAAGATTTCGGCCCAGATGCGGCCCAGAACATTCGCCTAATGACAAGCGCACTTTCATGTTCACCTGTCATTTGTCCACGAATAGAACCTAAGTATCTTACCGTAGTATAGTGTTTTAGTGATATCATCTTTTTGTCGAGCGCCAGGGATAAAGTGAGCTTTGTAGACTTCTCACAAATCTCAGTGACATCTGGTGCTGACATTTTGTGGAACGTTTACTGCTTTCAAAAATAAATGAAACTGAAATGAAGCCACTCAACAGGAAAGTTCTGTTTGTCAGGTGAGAAGCACAGTATTGTGAAATAGTAAAGTTCAATGCATATATGCTTACGAGACTGTTCTGTCTGATTGCAATCTATTCGACGCAGAGCCTGGGGACTTGTTTGCTTGTCGAGCTAGGGTAAAATGTGGACATGTAGGTCTTTTTTTGGTATCCTATGCTTGTTAGATAAACAAAGGCATTGCCAAGTTTCTCCGTGTGATGGCGTTTGACGAATATTTTTTTTAACTAGAGCACTCTCTTTTCTTGTTATAAGTTTGATGCTTGTGGACGTAAAAAAAATTAAAAATTGTTAATTTTTGCACACCTTATAATTTAAACAAATATAAACTAGCCCTAGGACAAACGTCAGCAAGTACCTAATAATATGCAGAAAAAACTTCGGCATTTGAGTTTCGAGCATCTAATTTTCTGGAAGCCCTGGTTTCAGATAAATTCCGTCAGCCTTGAGATGAAAATCGGCAAAAAAGCATCCTTTATAGTTTACATGCTTGGTCTTAGTTTCGATTTTCTTTCGCTATGGTTTTCAGGCGGGATTTTTTTTGCATCAATATTGTTGCATTTTGCACCAATGGTCGTTCTACTACGCAGTAATTGTAAAAGCTAGGACTCATATCCTACTTTGGCACAGACTTAATAGATGAACATTGTATAATTTGGGTAAAAATTGATGTATGTTACTTACTGGTTTGTTACTGAAAGATAAATAATAATCTATAGAAAATTTCTCTCGACTGATTATAGGGTTTTTGTCTGCCGCAGACGGTTTTCTTACGAAATGCCACCACACTGCTCGATTATTTATGTTTCAGCGCACATGGTAGGCAGCTTGCCGACTAATACAGCCCATTTCATGTATGTGAATCCAGCTTGCACCGACAACACACGGCAACCCCATCGTCCCGTTGTTATTTTATTCACAAAATAGCTTTGAAGAAATGCAACAAACAGGGGAATTTAACGCGACTTTTGCAGGCATTGGACAGTTTCTTTGTCAGGTGGTAAACCTCAGGAAAATAAGAGCAAAACGACATATGGCATTCACCGTCAAACACCATGTTAGAGGAGTTTGCTTCTAGTTACAGCTCAAACTATTGCGACATCACTAGCTAAGAGAAAGTTATTCTCGACTGACGGGTTAGCCACCGTGGAGCCTAAGATCCGCCTATCATCAGCATTGACAGAACATGATATACTTCCTGTTCGAACCGAGGGCTTAAAAAGGCGTCTTTACGACGAGAGCTTTTGTATTCAAGGCCGAGGTGAAAGATAATCTAACGACGGAATTAGAAGCGTCGCTTGGGTAAAAACCAACGTGAAACGAGCCCCACATCAGCTGTACAGCCGATCCGTCAAATCAAATATACTGCACGGTAAACCAAGTAAGATTGGCACGAACAAGCCAATTTTTTTGAGGTAGCAAAAGGAAAGAATCGGTGAGGATGGTTACGTCGAGGTTTGGAGACATCCTAAGGAGGCCACTTAGTGAAAAATTTATGCTTGTTCGCTCCGAGAGCAATATAGATATGTTGTCCAAGAAACGAAGGGTTCTCAGAATAGTGCGAGCATGAAGATGCACAGTCAGTGTGCCTATTGCTTATTTAGCTATCAGAAGCTACCTTAAGGCACTTTTTGCGTAGATGAAAGTCGAAAACGTTTTCGAGAAAATATTTCCACGACTCTTGCTAGACTATCTAACTCTTTATAGTTGGTAAACGTATATCAAATATAATACTCTTCAGCTATATTCCTGGTTTCAAAAATCGTTTATGACCCAGCGCAACGTGAGCCCAACATGGCAGAATTAAATCAAGCCAGAGTGGAGGTTTCCTAGATGAGCGCTATTTTTACGTACAGTAGTATCGATCCAGAGACAACACTTTTCGTAAAAGGTGACAGATCTATATGGGGATTGTCATTGTGACTAATTTTTCGATGTTAAAAAGCGATAACAAGCCGTGCTTCTCTGTGAGTAGCTGTTAGTTTAGTTTCAAAAATTCCCCAAATTATAGAACAGAATGAATTAATTTTTTTTCCAATTTTATACATATGTATGTCTGGATGGTCTCGTTGAACAGAAACACTGACAAACTGGTAAGATGCTGTTTGCACAAGCCCTCACAATTATATTGACGCAATAAGCACTGCATTTCATCTACTGGGTCTGGAAAAAGATTTGGCCCAAAGATTAGGAAAATCAAATCTTCAGAGTCTTTTGTACACTGATCTTTCTTGTTTCACCCTTTCTGAGTGTTTTGGTGTTTTGCCTACTGGAATAATGTCGCAGGGACCCTCGGCCGGACCCAGCCTCTGACTTACCCGCAGGCAAGATAATAATTTGCTATTGGATTCGTATATAAAGCATCTTCTCAGATTAACTAATTTGTTTATTAAAGTTGTTATCGGTTGTTAATTAAACCTGTACAAGATTTTTGGCTTCGCGAACCAAGTAAACTGCTTTTACTTTAGCAGTGATAAGCGCCCAAAGTTGTTGTGTGTTATCACCCGGAATACCTTATTTTTGCGAAGTGTTTTATGGAATAACGTGTTTGTAATGGCGTGTTGGCCGTCGCGGTTTTTGCAGCGGTTTCTTGAAAAAAAAATAACAACTGTTTTGCTCATTGGAGTCTCTTAATATATGGTGTGGATAGTTTTCTGCACAGAAACCATATATATATATCTCAGCTTACCTAACATATGCCTTCCGGGTGATTAATCTCTATGTGCCGGGAGCTATTACATATATAACAACTCTTGTACGATCACAGCACGATCTAAAGTGCTGCAAAAAACAATCAGCAATATTTCTTCAGAAAAAAGACGTTACTTTTGGACATAATACTTCTTCCTATATGTCTGAAAGAACGACGTCTATGCTTAAAATATAAACGATGTGCATCTTGCAATGGAATGCCAAATGCAATCTTTAAGATAATTTTTACTTATTTCTATAAATGTGTGATATGTATTCTGTCTCGGATTACTCTGGCATTATGGTAGACTTTCAGATTTCAAATTACAAAAAACTAGTCTCAAGTATTTTGCGCATTTGGATGTGCTGAGTTGTATTCGACTTATGTCTATTACTATGGGATCTTTACTTTTTGAGGGACCACTTAGTAAATCACTGAAAACTATTTAATTTAATAAACATGTTAATTTAAATTAATTTAAAAAAAATTTTAATTAACTGATCAGATTTGATATCTTAAATAATGCTATGACATAATTCTTTGATTGTAGTTCGGGCCATTCTACTTGTTGCTTAAGAAACCAGATGGATCTGTTCGACTTCATGGAACACTCGGTTCAATGATCACGAATGTAACAGCTTCGCTCAACATGACGTATGACCTTCTAGTAAACAACCAAACTTCATATTTTTGTTTGACCATTCATGTTTATTAGAGCGAATTTTAGATTTATTTAAGTATATGTATTCAGTGTATTAACTTAAGATTGTTTAAGTAACATAGTGAAGTAAAAAGTAATATAGGTTGTTGATATAAAAATCCGAAGGAAAATCTTGATGATTCTTATTATCATTAGGATGATTATGCTCAACACGATAATTTTAATACATAGGTAGGCAAATAATGATTACGACACGGCGTGCACTGGCAACTGACTTACGCCAGGCGGTAGCTCTAGACCGAACACTGCGAATGAGACAAACCTTTTATCTTTTCTTTCAAGACACTAGTGCTCTTTGAGTCATTTACTTCCCTTGGTCAACGACTTTCTGGCTTAGCCTGTCCGGCAGATACACAAAATACATAAGCAGAGTCACCGACTATATTATGTAGATGTCACACGAATTTTATGGAAATAACATTTACGTCAGCTTTCGTATTTTTTACCTATTTCGGTAACGTTATTTTGACTGCCGGTTCATTCTGCATTTATTTTTTTCTTTCTCGCCTCGGTTGGAGTCCGCGATTGCGCTTTACTGTTCAACAGATTGTTTTTTGCGGTTCCTAGTAACTACTAGTGACTGCAGTTTGCTTTCCTTTCCTGAATACTGATACTATTGTTGATATTGTTTCTCTTTGTCTAAAACAAGGTCTATACCCTCATATGCAGTTGAGCTCTTAATAAATGCAGCACTGTTGACTATTGAACTGCCAGAGCTACTACCTTAGTTTCTTCCGTTTTTTTTCTACCACCTTCATTTTTTCCATAAACGACAAATTTTCTATCTGCTCGAATCACGGATAGGTCATTGATTTGGACCAGCATGCAGTTTAAAGATATCTTTCACAATCCGTGAACCTATTGCTGAAGGGGGAATACCTAAAAGGCGATTCATGTCATTTTTAATACCGCAGCTAGTAAGGCAGATTCAGGCATGCCTTATATCCGCATATAGGCTCAGGCTATCAATACAAACATACACACAACGTATTCATAGAAACTTATAGTCGAATTCACTGCAGGCTCTCATCATGTGTCTCTAACTAGTCTCAAAATGCCCAGCTCGAACTTCTTGTGGCGTTTCTCATTCCCTCAAGAAAAGTGTAATCATCGGGCATTTTATACATTTATGTGGTCTATATTCAAATCTGAGCATAGACACACTTTATTTTGTCTTGAAAGCTAGCCACCCAATGGAATACCTAATGGCAGTGCTGGCCGTAGCACTCTAAACATTTAGTTTCGTGGCATAGAAGGAAGGTAACATGTTTTTTTTTAAAAAGCTTAGAGATGGTGAGGATCATAGTGATCATCATCATCATCATCATCATCATAGTGAAAACCTGATCATTTTCGACTCTCTTGTCTTCTTAAGTGGTGGTCGCTAATGTGGACTTGTTGACTCAATGAAAGCGACTTTGACCTCACTGTCACCGGAAAATTTCAATAGCGGTAGTTAAATTGAAAATAAAGTTAACAGTATAGAAATGCCAGAAAGAAAAGGAAGTGCCCTGGACGATACAGCTCATTTTGGGCCGTCATGTCCTACTGTTAAGGTTTCGCACACTAAATTTCGTAAGCCTCGCTACGGTAAATATGTCTACAGAAGGTATTGGTGTTAAGTTTTTAGCACGATGAGAAAAAGAACCTTCCGATCACTTCAAACTTTAATAGCACATTATTATAAACAAAGTACTGAAACATGATTTAGTATGTAGGCTTCTAGAGAAGGATTATTATTAAGCGTTTACAAATTATTAAGAGATAAATCGCCGTTAAAGTTAAATTAATGGAATTCCCTCTATCGGAAGTTGCTTTTTCAACATAAAGTTATTTTTTTTTTAATATAGAGTGCGGAAGTTTGAAAAGAGTGACGTGTTATTTTGTTATATATCGCCGGTATTATCGACACTTAATTTTAGGAAATCAAGGATGTCATTTGATTTTGTTGGTCATTAAAAGGTACAAAACTACATGTTAGGAAAATAAAAGCATTTTATAAAACGTAACCTTTAATTAACCTCAGCAAATGCAATGATTCAATAATTTCACATGGCACACAAATTCCTAATTTTTTTAATATTGTGGCGTTTATTCGAAACTTGCTTCTATTCAGCTGCTATTATTTCAGCTGTTTCAACGAAACTGCTAGTATTCAATGTAAGCTAAATTTTGACTCTATTCGATTACCTATAACTGGCTCAAGCTTTACGCCCGAAATCGTTTTGTTAGGCTAGAGTAGAAAATTCCGTTTTTTCTTTTCAGTCATTTTATTTCGTTTCGACTTTGAGAAAGTACACACCTTTTAGCCGAAGTAACATCGTTTGCTTTTTATTACTTTTTCCTATCTTTTTGGTGGCTGATATGTACGGACTTCCACCTCTGTTCTATACTGTTCACCGTTCCAGATGTGTCGCTTTGGTTGTTGTTGTTGTTGGAGCGGTGTTCATGCTGCGCCCCGAGTGGAGTAGAGTTTCCTGTTACAGTGCCGTTGGTGTTCGTTGGGTTACTAAAATAGTTACGCGGTGCAGCGTTGTCATGAAACACTTCCATTGCCCTCTTTTTTACCCCAAGACGCTTTTCTGCTATTCTCATTACTCAGACGGATGCCTTGCTTTGCGTAACTGTCTTCCGTGTTTTTTTCCCTAAGCTTTAAAATGCTCATAGCGTAATACTTCTTTCTCAAGCTATCATATATAGAGGTGCAGCTTTTAAATATGTTTCTTAGTGTTCTCAAACTGGAGGGGTTTAACTAGCCCTTTTCACGTTTAGGGGCACCGAAAAAATGGTATCAAAATTACTTTCTTTCCTGTACAAGCAATGAACAACTTACTCGCAGACGGTTCTTTTTATTATTCCAACTGAGCCTATGGAAGTCCACTTCCCTTCCTTTTCAATATTTTTTAGTGCATGCAAACAATTTACAACAGTTATTTGGGTTACCCCTAGCTGGAAAAAGAGCTGTTAGGTCTAGTGCAGCGCATTTCTTTTTAGGAGTGCCTGCAGTTCGTCACAGTTCATTTTTTTGTGGCCGCCTGGAACGTGATTTGTTGTTCTTGTTCGAATCTCCGATTTTAAACCGATTCAATCTAAACTTACTGATAATGCTTACTGTACGTGCCCGGTGATCAAAACAATCATCCTAAGAAGTCTCAATGATACACGATTAGGCGATCCGTCGCTAGCTCCATCTGTTTTTACTCAACCTAATATCACTGCTTGAGGAAAGAATTCAACTACATAGGCATAAGTAATCTACAATCAAATGCTCTTAATCTTTGGGAATATGTGTTATGGAACCCAGCAAGAAATGACTGCTGTGACATCCTCTGGGATTAAAGTGTTCCTATACTATGCGTCTCTTACAAACTTATTTCCCTTCTTTGAACCCCATCGTTCAAAATGGTTCGGAAAAGTCTTTCAATCTTTTTGTTACAGACAGTATCAAAGCAATGATTTGAAGTAATAACGCTTTCTCTCTCCTACGTAGGTACAGCATTGTACCACCGCTGGACAAAGCCTACGGCATGGTTGAAGAGGAAACGGGCCGCCTAACAGGAATGTTAGCTACAGTGCTTGCGGGAAAAGCAGATGTAGCAGCAGGGCCATTTCCGGTTCACCCCAGAATGAATGACTTACTGCACGACATGGCACGGTCGTCTGACTCTTTCACTGCATTCGGTATCATTTCCGGGATGAAAAACGACTACGTGCAAGCACCCACTTCATTTACGGATGCGTTTGATAGCCTCGTTAGTATCAGAAAATTAAAATCCAACATCTGATGACATTATATATGATTAATAAATCTCTCATTCACTTAGATTAACAAAAACTAGATCTATATCACACATTAACGGTTACTCCGTTGCAATTACCCTGTCTCACCTCACCCGCTACCTTGTTGCAATTATCTCATCACTTTACTCAGTTGTTCGCCAGAGTGTTCGATCAAATCTGGATTTATGTTATTCATGACGCATTGGCCTTTGGTACATTTCTCTACGTCAATAAAAAGCTTTCTTAGAATTAGTTGACTCACTCTGTATTTGAAGAACGTACACGAATCAAATGGCCGATTTTGAATAGACGTTATGACTGATGTAGTCGACTAATTCTGTTTCTGCTTAAGGTTAATTCTGGTACTTTGTCATAAGGAACGTGTACACATACCACATTAAATGAAGGCTGATTGTTCCAGGAACGTCACCAAGCTTTAAAGGTTTTTCATGTTACGTTTTTCTACGTGAAGTAGTGGCGCATCTTAAGCTAAATGAACATACGATGAGTTTATGTGTTTATGTTTTTATATATAAGGATTAAATTTTTATTTTTTTTAAATTTTTTGTTAACAAATACTTGTACATATTGAGCACGAGCTCAAATATTTTATATGTTGGTTGGCATATTGATTTTGATTCTCAGAGGTCATTAAAACTGTTCGATCGTATATATACATATCAATTTTTTTTGCAATTTCGTTTTGAGAATGATTTGGTGGAAAAGTCAAAACGATGTTTTATTAACCCGGCGGACCCGCAATTAAATCACCTCTTTTTTAGCTGGAAAACTCGTCGGGACGATCCTCATAATCTGGCAGTTGGCTCTCATAATCTGGGCCACAATGGGCCAACGGTTGTCCGACCCCGTTAACTGATTGGGCGTTATGTATGCTTGCAGGGGTTCCCACTGGTCACATGTCGGGGTAAATAATAATGCGGGCGTTTGGAAGGTTCGCAGTTGACTTTTTGACTTTAGTTAGGTAACGAATTTATGGATTAACCCGTTTGAGTACCTCAAAAATTTTAACTATATTACGGAATTCGAGCCGATGCATACTTTGTAGGCGACGTTTCATGTAGTCCAGAAAATCCATAATATAGATTTGTAAAAATAGACAATGCGTAGGGGGCTGACGGTAGAGGACTCATTCTGTGGTACACTGCTTCTTAAATGATTAGCTTCGGGTTGTATGAACTTTGGGGAAGCGCGGGATTTTTCATTCACTCCAACTCAAGCAATCTAGCAAAGGGTATTGTAGTGATGTTTGTTTTATGTTTGTTTTTCGGAATGATTATCCAACAAACGCATTTTTTCTGTATAAGTAGTCTTGTTCCGCAAAAAATTGTATGTTGGACAATTTTATCTTGTTACGCATGTATCAGAAGTTGCCTGTTTCGCTTTCGGAGAGAAGTACGTTTGAGTGACAACGAGCCTCACACATAACGTTAAAATCGGTGGAGGTGCTTTTTGTCGGGTTGGCGGCCCGCTGTATTCCCCTTCGCTGTAGCGAAGTAACGATTATTGGGATTCTCTGGCCAAAGCACAACGATGGCGTGGAATTTGGAAGTAGTTAATACAGAGGAGCCAATGTTTAATTAGTTCAATTTGTTCACGCCGAATCGATTTGTGTGTCACAAAATCCGCCACCTAAGGCTTTCAATAAATGTATACTAAATACTAAAAGCCTTAGATATGTTATAACATGCGTACATTGGAATAATTTTTCGCAGTTGCGTTGACAAGGGGAAATTGATTCTCTCAGTTATTTAATAATGCAACCGTCTTCCCGATTTCGCAAATTTGATTAACAACATGTTTAATTCCATTTAAAAAAGTTGGAAAAATTAATGTCTCTTGAGGGCCTGGATCAAGCGATATGGTATATTTTTATTGTTGGGCTGAAAAGTTCCACATAAAAAAACACTAACCTCCTGTGTTCCTCTGTATTTCTTGTCTCAGTTTCTAAAGTTTGTTTGGTGGCTGCCTGAGGGCACAGCTTTTGTAGCGATTTTTTCTCCTATAGGAGCCGTTTTGATACGCGACGCAAACGACCACGAATTTTGATTCTGTTGCAATTTCTGCAGAACATATATATATATATATATATATATATCAGATCTCGATTCCAGAGTCCGTTTGTAACGTAAAATGTATCGACATGAGCGTAGCAGTATGGAAACTTTCCAGAATGATTCTATCAGTTATATTTCTATAGGCTAACATCGAACTCTTTATACTAATGCGCTATCGGCAATTAAACGCAAAAATAGAAAATCGCAAGCTGATCAATGATATTGTACGCGCACAAATTTTGTACAGGTGATTGAGAAACTAGTCTAATTATACGCAATAATCAAATGTGGCAGAAAAACAAACCTGACCCTAGTTGTTTTTGTGGAGCGATTTTGAGGGGTACACTAAGGGTAACGAACTCAATTTTATAAGGAATTTTTATTACTTTTAATTAATACGTCAAACCTAGACAGGAATACTCCTATCAATTTAAGAGGATCCGCTGTTTTTCCAAATGGGTGAAAACAATGGGGATCTACCTAGCACAACTTTATCCTTTATGGATGAGTTCGATGCGGCAGTCCTCCAAATACAGGGAAAACACACCACTCTGAATAGACAGAATTATTATTATTGCTACTGGAATAGCTAGAGGGCAGCATAATGACACAGTATATTAGAAAATATTTAATTTAGATTAGAAGGAAGAGTCTTGCAACTCGTGTATCGTACTATATCAAGTCACAGTATAAGAATAATACTCGCGAATACGAAGGTATTGGGTAGCATTGCTGGAAATTATGAATGAGTACTAATTAAAGATTTTAGGTACATCAAACAGTTCTGTAGCTAGAGTTTCATTCAGCGTAAGTGGTTGCGTACTGGAAATTTTGAAGTCTAGCTCAGTGGTTTCAAACAGCACGACGCATGTTCTGGGTCCGTTCATGGATTCATTCCAACGAAACCACGAAGTTAATGGGAGATTCCAACAGAACTGTTGGTGCAAATTTGAGCTAAAATTTAGGTTCGGCCTGGTGTAACATTTGATAATTCATTTTTTAATATTTATGGCAAATCAGGCCCGAAGCGTGGTAAGCAGGATCATCTCTCATATGTAATTAACTGTATTTATGTAATCTTCTGAGAGCGCTCGCTTTTAGCGGATTCTCCATAGCTAGAGTATTATTCTAACGCAATCTACATGTAATGTGGAGCGTGTCGATTGGATGAGTGTTTTTTGCCGGAAAAACCTCCCTCTCCCATAATGCATAATGCTAATTTACACAGGCTATCTCTATTTTGGCGACTTATAGGCCTAATGTTGTTAATATGCGACTAACATTTCTCTTGGTTTAGCATAACTAGATTTGAAACTGGCTTGTGAAATATATTCCGTGCATTAATCAATTACCCTTATATAAACACATGGGTAATGATTACAAGATTAGAGGTCCAGGTCCAGACTTCATCCGGCATAAAACAATCCATTAAAAAGCACAGCCTGAGTCGATCTCTTGCCCCTTAATTTCTTACTTGAGAAAGTTTGCAGGGATTGGGCACGTACTTTTGCCTTTAGAAGCCAGAATTTTCGCTTCTTATTTTTTTCCATTATTAATTTTCTATTTAGTCTCTTATGGACTGCTATATATATATATATATATATATATATATATACAACGAGAAAATTGTAAGGGGTCAGAGAGGCTCTATTTTGATGCTGAAATGGGTCTTTAAGCGCAAAAAATGCAAAACACCTGTGGCATATGTCTCTCCTATGTGGCAAAAGCTCCAAGAAAAGTTTGAACCGTCTTTCGAGCGATTTTCTGATGAACGTCAATTGGATATAATAAAAAGGGTTTTTTTCCAAAACATCTTTCGAGAGGTTTTCTGAGGGAAATACTGAAATACCAAAATACCGAAAACATTTTCCCTACGTGAGTCACCGCTTCGTTAGCGCTTACTCGCAGATGTGACACTGAAATGAAAATGAATCCATTGGGGTCGTCTTCGACACTAATCAGAAAGATTCCGATAAGCTTAATTTAAATGTAATTCAATTTTCCTAAATTTCATTTTTGGGATCAAAAATGCCCTTGAGCGGAAGGGGTGGAAATTTATCACATCGTTTTATGTGGAAACGTTTTTCCTATCGCAAATCTATGGATCTCGATAAATTAAATTAAAATGCAGGACACATTCCTGTACCCGAAATCAGTATTTTTGGATTTTTATGGCGAAAACTCTATTGATTGTATCTACTTATGTAACAACTGGATGAAAACGCGTTTTGAGCTGCTTTTGTGGGGCTTTCCGAAAAAATTTTTACTAATGTCAACTGAAAGGTTGAGGCGGCTAATGCTAACTCGATTTTTGTAAAAAAAATCCAAATCATTATGAAAACAAAAAGGTGAGATATCAATATACGTGTTTTAAAAATATACGTAGATATTTATTATAAAAAAATATTTAAGCTCTTCTACCCCTGTTGACACGTCAGAGGCAGAATTAGTACGCCAATCAAAGCTTTAGATTGTTCTTCAATATATGGATAAAGTGGAACAGGGCAACTGCAACGGCATAACTGTTAATGAGCATTTAATCTACCGTTTTCGACGAACTACGAAACGAAAAAGAATAGTTAAATCAATTAAAGGCTGAAAGTGCGCGACACAGAGTTCGCTGGTTCGTTTATATATATATATATTTGCGAAGTTTGTTGGTCGGAGTCTAACAATATGCCGGCTAGCGATTAGCTAGGCTCTAACTACGTTCGAACTAGCGGCTATTTATTAAATTATGTGCCATACAATTTAGCTATCGCCACTAGCCATGCTGTATCCACGCAACATTTGCGGGTCCCCAGTGCGGTACGCTTGTCGTAACTGGTTGTGTTAATGTCCTCGTACACTCTTTGGCTACCAGCAGCTTCCTACAGCCTTCCAACGGTCTCTCTCGCACTTCCGTTCATCATCGAAGCACATTCTTGATACCTTCTTTTTAAGGGCTTTCCACAGTAGAATCTAACTACTTCGTATGGTACATAGTCGCTGCTCCTCGTATAGTACATGTTCTCTTTGCTCGTGAAGTCTGCCTTACAGACACTAGTTCTTTGCCGCCGATCTTCCCGTTCCATTTTTCACTTCAGTTCTTTTTTCGTTCTTTCTGGTTACCAGTTACCACGAGAATGGCCAGCCTCTTGCGATGTTCTAGACTCTAACTGTTCCTAACGAAAACTAGACGCCGATGGGTCCCACGTTGTCAGTCTCGTCCCTCATGTTCCACATTCGACCAGAAGCCTGGTTTCCGGGTTTCGTTTCATTGCCTCCGCAAAACTGGTCGAGCGTGAGCTTTGTCGCTGCCACCAATCTATGAAGAACCAGTCCATTGATCAAAGACTAACAATATATCCGCTAGAAACCGAGGTTTTACACGATTTCATTTCTTCGCCGTAACATTATATATATCTATATTCATCCTGACAATCCTAAAATGAGATCACCACAAATTTCTTAGATTACTACAGAGTATTCGTCTCATTGAACTCACATACTGTGCCTAGTTGAAAAAAAAAGTTAAATTAATTAAGCGAAACTGCACGACGCCAAAAGAAAATAACGTGTATACCACGGATGATGTTTTTGAATCCCATAGCAATGCATAGTGATGATTACTAAAATAACATTTTTTTGATTCAATTTCAATCAGTGTTTAAATCAGTTTAATTCAAATACACAGAATTACATGATAATGAAATTATTAAGAGTGCTAAATGACTCTTAAATTATTAGAAAGGGATGCCATATCCATGCTGTCCAAGGCAACCCCATTAAAGAAGGTAAAGAATAAGAATAAATGTTGTTAACGAAGAGGGTTAGGGTACTGTCTGCGAACTTCAGTATAAAATATAACCATACAACATTCAAAACAATAAGCTACGGAAACAGAGGAAATATTTCAAATTCAATTCGAGAAATTTTAAGTAATGTAGCTCGAAACTTGAATCTAACAGAACAAATTACCGACAAACATATAGCCTACACTTTTTGCCGCTACTATTACACGGCATATAACATGACCAGCGGCCTTCCAAAGCTTACATTCCGTCAAGTCTATGACTTAAAGATACTGTATCTCTTACGAATGATAAGTAATTTTCAATTGGATTTGGTGGAATTATTTCGCAATTATTCCATCCAACGACTTATTGATTAACATGTCGCTTATGACTTCATCCTTCCAAACATCCTCAAACTTTATCAAGTTATCAAAACAAAAGATCAGAGTCCACTTAGATAAAAAAAAAACTGTAATTCAAGGAAGGGATTTAATATTGTTTATACCAATATATTATTAAAGCAGCCTTTAGAGTCGACAACATAACTATCGGTTTGGTCTAGGCATGCATTGATAGCAGAAGACACGAGTCAGCGAATCTGTTTTCAATGAAACTGATTTCCGCGACTTGCGCAGGAAGATATGGATAGCCTATTCTTCTTCAATACGTTCACTAAAATGCCGCAAGGTGCACAACTTCCCGTGTTCGCCGAAGATACAATTACGCTATTTGTTAAAAGTTGAGCTTAATGTAGTTTCTGCAGACCCCTTGATCTGCAGCCATAAGCAGGGCGAATCATTTCGAAGATCGACAAAGACTGAGTAAGTTGAATGATACGAGTTTTTTGGCGTAATGCTCAGAACTAGGTTAACTTGTGAAGTCCATACTCTTCATGCCACGAGAATGCTGACTAATGTATATTACGGTTTTGCCCATACCTGCTTGTTACTCAGAATTTGGAATTGGGAACTTTTTGTCTGAAATTTCAATGCAGTATCAAGCCATTACACTGCTTACAAACATAAGTGATTCCTTCAGTATCAGATCTGGTCTTATTAGTAAAAAAAATTTTGGACAACTTAGATGTTCTTCTTAACAAAATCAAATTCGCTATTTTAGAAATTACGAATACTCTAATAGGCATCTGAAACTCATGGATCTAGCGCCCCTCCGCTTCCAGCAGGACCACTCGTGGGTTTCAGCAGCAATGATTATTGTTAAAACCTGCAATGACTAATCAAGCACGCAGCCCACGCAATAATTTTGAGGCCGTTTTTGTCGAATACATTGCTGTTGAAGACAAGGAATAAGAGTTTCCTTAATTATGTTAAAATAATTAGAGACTAATTGTATCCTCGAATACTACTTTGAACTCCTTTGTAAATACTAATATATTTTTTATTACCTAGCTTCTTATAATATTTTCCAATGCAAGTATGAATACTTGATATTACCGTTAGAATTTGAACGATTATACAAACTACACACACAAAAGAGCACACAGCATTTTCTACTGGGTACTGACTAATAACGAAAATTACCACTACTTTATGGAACAGTTATAACTACACTATAAACGAATAATTAGGGATGATACAAACATTTAACATTTGCGAATTGGTATCGATAGTGATGAATGCAAATAATGAGCAAAAACTAATGATTTTCTATAAACATTAAATTTACTGTATAAGGTTCAAGCTTCTAAAAGCAATTTCCCGTTTGTATCTCGTTACTAAAGACATCGACGTAGTGAAAAGTACTATTACATCTAATGCGGTGATTGTGCTGTATTGCTACTTATTACTGACTCGCCGGTCACACATTTTAAGTTATAGAAATGATCAGAAACTTCCTATAGAATCAGAAAAAAATTAGGTTGAAGGTAACATTTTAACTACTTACCTATTTTACACCTTCTGCTTCTATGGTTTTCCTATTTCAACAGAGTTGGGTACTTCTTTTTCTGTGCCTGCTAGCGATCGTTGGAATTCTTCTTGGGTACCGGCTTGTTACGGGGCAGGGTGGATCTAAAACCATTGCTGATACGCTTATCAAATGGCTTTTTAATGGATATGCTGTTCTCCTTCAAGAAGGTATGACTAAGTTACATATTATTAACATATTACTACTACAGAGCAAGATAATCTAACGTTTTGAGTCAACTCAGTTTATTTTTCTTTTTTCTATCAATAACTATTTTACTCTTCCATTCAAATACTAAGCCCACGAGTGTTTTGTTCGGCGTACTTTGAACACTAATTGGGCTAAAATAAAATTTTAATATGTGTCGGAGATACTCTCGTTCATTTTTCCCACACCTGTCTAGTGCTCTGGTAACTTTCAGGTAGCCATATATTTACCATTTACGTTCCCACATGTAATTTATACATCTATGGTTTCTTGAAATAAATCGCCCACTTTAGGATACAAAAGTTTCCAATCACGCTGACTTAAAACAAGTTTAAGCAAATGTTACTTATGTTCGGTTACCGTGCCAACGGTCTATGACTTTCGAGAAATGAAAAACTGGGAAGAGCGATCTGCATTATTTTACTAGTATCTCATAATGGCAGAGGTAGCTGATGTCCATTAGAAATACTACCGACTCCACACGACACTTCCACCGAACTCACCTAGTCTGTCTCCGACTGGCAGTAGCAATTAAGTTATGTCGTCTATGACGACCATATACTGCGGTGGGTTTCGTGTTGAATTAAATCTGCATTATGCACATTGAATACACCACACGCATTTCCAACTGGCCTAGAAATAATTCACGGGTCACCTATTTTTTCGCATATTCAGCATTAAAGTTAAAATTCTATATTACGTTATATGTGGAATGCCAGTTTTGGCCGACAGAGCCATTGGGCCCCACGCTGTTTTCTTAAAAAGCCCCGTCGATCGTGGCGATTCGTTCTTGCTCCTTAGGTTCGCTGGTCTTCACTATTCCAATCTCCATTCTAGATTCAAGTACTATGCTTTCGGTTAAGGTTCCCTTGCCAAATGTCATCACCAATTTTCGATGAATTTTCGCAGCTTTATGGCCTTCTAGGATCACCAGTTTTATTTCTAAACGTTTGTTCAGTTTTATTACTAAACGTTTATTTTCGAGATTACGAAATGTCTTTTTTGTACACTCACTTTTTCTAAACTAGGCTCAACCGGATTCCACAATAATTTTCTAAAAGGCTAGAGTATTTACTGGTCTAGTTTCGTCGGCTAGGACCGCGTGGTTTAAAAGTGATCGGATTTCAACGTTCACCAGATTTGCTTGTACCAGTCTAATATTATTATTTTTGGAATTTATTTGTAATAAGCAAACAGGTAAACATGTGTAAATATAAAGTGTTTAACGAAAATTGGCGCAACTTGCTCTATCCTTTTATTACTCCCAAATATGTGTAGCATTTCCTTGTATTTTCTGACTTATATTTTTAAGCAAATCATGTATTCTACATGTGTTTTGATTATTAGATAATCGTTGTAAACCTCTTACTTAATGAACTTAGTTTACATTGCGTATTTGTATCTAGAAATTATTCCTCAAAAATTGCTAAGTTTTAATAGGTGTATCTATAGGGACATGTACTATAGATTAAAAAATGGTTATTTATTCAATTTTCGTTTTATGTTTAAACTATTTAATAGCTACATCAGAGAAACCGTCAACGTTTTGGTTCGAGCGCGTTGTAACACTTCTTTGGTTAGTCAGCTGTATGCTCTTATCAAATTCTTTTGCGGGAACGATGCGTGCTAACCTGATCGTCATACAACCCACTTTTCGCTTTAAATCTCTTTATGATGTTCTTCAACATCCTGAAATGACTGTTGTATACCCAGCTAACACACCGGCGGAAAACATGATTAATGTAAGTATTTGGTATATGTTTAGGTTATTTTTGAAAGCCATAGCCATATTTGTATAATCGCGTAGAAAGTTAAAAAAAGTTTCATTTTGAGCTCTTTCGCACCGAAAAATTTTTCGGTGCGAAAGAGCTCAAAATGAAAATAAATCAACGTATTTGTTAGACCTTTAAAACATATTTGAAAGCAATATAGTAGAGTTAATCATTTGCAGCTTGACCTAACGATAGGTGATTTTTTTCTCTAACAAATTCTGATCTTCTAATAAGACAGAAGCTTAGGTGGATCTGACCTTCGTCTTAAAGTTGGGTTAAGCGAACTTAGGCGTTAAGAATTTCAGTTATATCAACATTTGCAAAAATGGACATAAGCGCTCGTGTACAAGAAGCTTGCTGTGAGAATCTGCCATCCGATTATACTTCATTGGGCGATCTAAAATTGGAAATACTCTCAGGTTAATTTGCACCGAGCACTTTGACAGTACAGTAAGAATAATACCATCATCAGCTTAATTTCAAATTTCGTAAGGGAACCTATCTCGATGATATCTGCAGAAGAAGTCATGCTGTTCACATGAAACAACGACGCGTTCTGGTACGCTTCATTGTATGCGTTGGAATGTAATTTTCAGTTATCTTTCAAAAGCTTACATACATGCGTACATAAATTGTAGATATTTACTGAACGCTAATCTTAACTTCAGATGTATTACATTTTACGATTTAGTTTATGGATCTCACCTATATCATAATATTTATCCAGTAAGATAACAATCAAGTAACTTAACGTGCGTAATTTGGATGTAGACTTCAAGCGACAGACATTGACGAATTTGTCATAGGAGTCTACGCCTTTGCAAAACAAGTTAATATTGAACTTGCAAGCAAAACAAAAATAATAAGTCAATCATACAACTTTTCTTTTAACCCTAAATGTACACAAAGGTCTGACTTTGAACATGCGGAGAAAGGGCGATGTCTCACTTAATTGGTGAATTGGTTTAAGACGCTTAATGGGTGTCAGCTTTACAAGGTTTAGGCAGTTGTTATCGCATATTAGAGCCGTCATTAGCTCACCTCTTGCTAAATGCATCGTAGTGGGATGCTGTACGTCGGCTGCAGAAACTTGTGTTACCCACCCCGTGTATATCCGACCGGATCTCGAGGCCAAGGAGAATATATACCTGCCTTTGGAATGGTAAATAGAACTGTAAAAGCAGTCCGCCTAAAAATAATTTCCTGGAGCTGTTTTGAGCCCTTATCGCGTTGGCTTAAACAGCTGGAAGAAAATAATTCGTTTATCAAGGGCATTCGATGAACGAACTGTTTTTTTTTGATTATATGTTGTCCATACTGATATGTGCGCCTGAAACTCTTAAAAAGCGTGTAGAAATACCCCCTTATAATTGGCATATCACGGGCTTCTAGTTTTCCTAGCTAGACTAGTTTTCATGGTATCACCGCACACTGAATTAAATACTAAAGGTCTGGATAGTCCTATTATTTTACCATTGAAGCCAAAAGATGGTGAAAGTGAGACTCCTTTTCAGTGCGTGGTAATAAGTTGACGATGCCCGACGGGCGGATATGAATCAGTTGCACGACAGTTTTCCGAGAATGCGGCTGAAGCAATTTTTAATGCTGGAAGCCTGCACCTTGCAATACTATCTATAATTATTAGTGCAATATTATCTGTAATTAATCAGTGTTGAATCGCATATAAAAACGAACCTAAACCTGTATAGATTTTTACCGTTGGCAATGTCGATGAAATTAGTAAGTGGTCGCGGGTGTTACTATATACGCCAGTTTTACAATTGCGCATTTTGCGATAAATCAAATATTTGAAGTTACAAAATGCAAAGTTAAGAAGGCTTCGGTATAAGAGGCGCAAATAATTTATTGCAGATGACAACACGTGCTTGGCAGTTGAAACCGTAGTTTTCAGCAAGCAAACATAAAAAGATCGTGATTTCTTTTCCTGATCTTCCCATGGGCTCCTCCCTCAAATGAAGCGCTCAAAACGCGGGTCCTCACTTTTGATCTAAGATTTTGCGTTTTTGGTGACCACACTAAACAGCTAATTACTTTGAAGTTAAAACAAAAAGGAATTCTTGGGTGATTTCCGTCGTGTAAGATAGATTGAATGTATAGCGGTCGTGGTGGCTTGTACGCTCAAACCTGATGTTTTAACAGACCAGCGATTACTATTTTAATGTGTATGAATAAAAATGGGCGTAAGCTTTCTGCATGAAAATTGCGTCTTCTACATAAACTTTAGAAAAGATGCATCACGATTTTGCGGTAGGTAAAATGGGAGACTATGAAGAGCTTTTAGAAAATTAAAAAAAGACGCGTAAACCAAACTAAAAAAAAAATTGACTCGAACTGGCTTGTGAAAAAAAACACTGAATTACAATAAAAGGAAGAGAATTCATATAGATTTCAACAAAACCAAAAACTGTTTTTTCGATTTTAGTTATTGCACAAATGTACAAATCTCCTATATGGGAGAGCGAGTTGCGCGCTTTGCGGACAGTAATCACGTGATCACCAAAATTTAGAGGACGAACATGCAGCCTGTAGAAACAGGTTTAGGCTTGATACAGTTGAAGTATTGAAATTAATTGTCTTCATGATTCTCATTATACTACAATTTTGGTAATACCGCCAGTCGAGGTAACAACCGTGCGATTTAAAAAAAGCTACAAAGATGTACAAAGAAAGCTTTTACAGGAATCTGTTCAGTATGTTACAATTATTCCGTTAGGATCGGAATTTGATAAACAAATCTGCACAATAATGTACAACACAATATATAATACTTATACAATAGAGAAAATTATGCTAAATATTCACATGAATGCCCTTCGCAATCATGAGGAAAGAATAACGCGTTTGGTACTTCGAACGGATGTAAGGCAAAAACACTGTTGAATAATTTATTCATTGAGAAATCTGTGTGCGTTACATAAGTGACTATGTGTGGAGTTGGAATTACCCTCGATTACATCTAAGAGTTTTACTAAATAATAACTTGCTGGTAGAAATAGCCAGCAGTATTTTTTTTGGTGCCGGTGATCTGCTGCTTGGCTGCACCGCACTTGCCGGAAAAAATTTGACATCAAGCTCGTCTACTTTTCCGGTTCTCTCGAAAAGCGTTTACGCTGAGCTAGACTACATACGTACAAGTTCCACTTTCCGAACTAAGAACGACTACTAGAAAGAGAACTGCAGACAAGTAACAAAAAACGATTGGGGTCACTATAAGCTTCTATGGTATACCCTCGATTTCTATTGTGGCACTCATACGAACGAGGCTTTCGTCATAGAAGGCCTGGCGCGAAGCACGGATCTCAAGAAAAATGCCTGGCCCATGCGCTGAATCTCATACTGAAGGATGATACGTGTCGTCAACCGCAGAAAATCGCGCATGGGGGCAAGTTTGCAATGTAGCTTACTGAAAGTAACGATTTTCTCGTATGTCGTGATCTGTTAGGTGCTATATCTCTAATATCGGTATAGACATAGAAGGTATACAGAGGTCAACCAATTTCGCTAAAAGGTATTTGCCCATTCCTTACAATATAGATTTTAAATAAAAAGGCCTAAACTGTGACCATCTTATACTGTGGAATAGCATGCCTGCTATGCTTACGGTACATTTCGTCGCGTCATCCGACTGGATCGTACTGCAGCCTAGCAGGCACGACCTGGCGTTCTATCTGACAGGTAAATAGACGTACATAAATGTTTTAAGCAATGCCTAACTACTCTAAAAAAGCGCACGAAGGGGTTTACCCAAAAGCAGCGGTTATCAAAATGGTTTTAAAACAGCTTAAACAACTAAAAGCGAACGTTCCCTATCAAAGGCTTTACCAAAGGTAGGCCGATCGCTACATTTTGCATCTGTTTTTCACGATAGATTTTTAGCATCTTTCAAAGACTTACTGTTTTTGCAGAAAGCTGGTCTGGAATTTGAGATTTATCAAAAACGCTCGTCGATTCTGAAACGTGCAAATGAGCAAACATCCATGTGTAGGACGAAGACTGTCCTAGGGTGCCCTCAACGAAGCATCCATAGGTACAAAAAATTATGAGGAACCAAAGGTGAAGATGGCGATGGCGGAGAGGTTATCTCAGGCAATAGTGCTTGTCGAACCTGATATTGCTGCAGTCAATAATAGCTTAAGTTCACTACAGGCAATGGTCCTAAAGGTTACCTTTGTGCTAACCGTGTCGAGTCCTAAATGTGCGAGAGTGTTCAGTATTGTTAGCAACTGTTCAACGAACCAAGAAGCTTAAAACGACAAATTTTCGATTTTCATACTTGAAGAGCAAGGGGATCAGGCTATTGTCCACGTAATTAACCATGTAAATTAAAGTTTTTATATAGTATGAATTTCAATTGTTGTTGCTCCAAGAGGGAACCGATAATGTAATTGACGATAAAGAAAGAAAAATACAAAATGCCAACAAAACAACGCTCGCGTCGGAAATTTGATTCTCGTTGAATGGGAAGACACCAGTTAGTTCACCAAAACTAGCTGGATAGCTAAATTCGGTTTCCTAAGAAGCAGCGTGTATGTACGTGTGCTTTCTGGCCAACGCAGAAGAAAAAAAAGATTAGGAAAGTAAACGAAATCCATGTTTGAATTTTAGCGGCAAATTTGCTGCAGCAAATCAAAAACTTCTTAAGGCTGCTTCCCGTTTTCCAGAACTTAAGTTCTTACACCGTTTGGAACGGGTTTTCTAGAACATATATCCAAAATAAAGTAGCGCAAAGTAAGAACCTTGAGAGAGGCATTAACTAACATCAATTTAAGTTCCGTTGACTCTTGCTGAAAGACAATTGTTATGTAGATGTTGTCCAATCTACTTCACCGATCTTTTACTCACATTGAAGGCGTCTGCAACGATGAGCATACTATGAATTACTACAGGAGGAATAAAATTGTCAGAAAAAAAAAGTACATCGCATACCTCAGTAAAGAGTTTTGATTTTATCGGGCACGCGTACTCTTCTTGTCTTCCTCTGAGAACGTTGATAAGGTACATAGTTTAAGATCACACATTTCTGTCGAAAAAACGAATTAGGAATTAAAATACACCTTACTTAACACACACCTGTATTAAAATTCACAGTTAAAGTAGTACATATTTTTAATTGCAACTAAAATTTTCAATTTCGTTTTCATATAGTATTTTATTATAAACCTGATCCACTTCGTCTTGTTAAGGCTGTCATGCTGTATTCTATATTAGTATCATATATTATCGCATCGATAAACCATCTATTCAAAAGTTTTAACTGTAAAAATATTTAATCACAGGTTTGAAAGGAAGATAAGCTTAAAAGACGACTATATAATCATTTTCTGTTTGTATTTTTCGAAAACAAATCGGAATCGAGTTCAACGGAAAAATATAATTTACACTTTTCTTCGATATCTTCGATGCAGCTAACAATAGTGAATTTTTCCAATAAAGCACTCCTATTGTATTCAGTTTTTTCTGCCGAGTATTTAATAAATGTCACCTAGAAAGCATTGTACAAAGCAAAAGCACCTACAAGTTACCCTTCTTTTTTACTTATATACTAATTTAAATTTAAAAGAGGCGCTCTTTTTAAGAATTTTGAGTCGTTAGAAACATTGAAACAAAACTGCTATATGCAAAAACGGCTGGAAAAAGGGTTTCAACCAAACAAACTTTTTTAGCCTTACGTAACATCGGCTTTACGGGTAGCGGCATAAACTCGCATAAGCAATATTTTCTCTTATTTTGAACTCCCCGTGTGTTTCTGTATACTGGATAAAAAGAGTTTAAATATATTAAACAAAAAAATAGAAATAAAATTGTTGAAGTGGCAAGGTTGACTCTGGCCGATAGAAGAATTAAAGCCGAATGATTTCACTTGGGATCGCTCTCTCTTAACTCAATTCTGTATTTTGTTTTTAAGAGAACTGCTTACGATCCTGTATACGGCAATCGTCTACGCGAGCATATGCGGACAAATTCTTACGCGACAACACTACCTGGTCTTCAAGAAGATTGGCTACGAGATAAACTTGCTTCTAGAAAAGCTATTGTATTTATGGAGCAGAAATACTTTACATCTCGATGCATAGCTCGTTGGTGTGTTAACAGTAACTATCTGTTTTTCGTCTCAAACCTTTTTGACATGTTCTTGGGTGTTTTTAGCTCAAAAGACCTACCATCAAGACTCAACAATGCCATCGACATGCAGTAAGACTTTTTTGCTTTTTAGGTAACTGAAGTTGCGTGCCTGTATCCAAGCCTTTAATACACTAAGTGATTCCAATGCTAGATTCATTTACAAAAGTAAGTCGATCTAGATACTTAGGCTAAAAATGCACTTAATTGTTTTTATTAGCATTGAATTCGTTGTCATTGGAAAACAGCGACAACTCGAAACTCTTACAAGATGAAAATTTAAAATAAGGTTACTCGGAATTGAAATATGGAAATTAATTAACTAATGGTGCACATATGATAGATTTTTTGCTTTATTTTACATTTCTAATGTACGTACTAGAATCTAATGCGTGGTGGGTTACTGCTTCTTTTGTGATTATTACTTAGAACGGAAGACACTTGTAATTAGCGTAGTTATTTTGTTCCTAATATTTTTATTTGCCCAAAAATCACAAGTATACTGCTAATTTGATCAGTTCAGAAATTCTTACCAGTAGTTTCACCGGAATATTCACATCAACGCGTTAGGTGCCGTCAGTCGCTATGGTGTAAGCGAGACGATAATGAAGACGAACCTGATTGAACGAGAATTCAGTGTAGACGTTTTTGTTTAAGTTCCAAAGGCAGATAGACGCCTTCTTTAGGGAGGCAAGCTTAGGTTTCAAATCTCTATTTTCTCTAAACCTACTGAAGAATCTACCTAACCATCCAATAAAGATGATTCGATGATGAATGGGTCGATTGGGTTCCGGGCCAAGCGAGTTCGAAAAGAATTTGATAACAGGCAAAGAGAGAGCGTAAGAAGAAGTGTACATAAAACGTTGAGCTAATAAAGAGACTGTTCCTCTTCTCATGTAACGAAGTAATGGGAGCAAAGGGAGAGGTTTCGAACGTTTCCAGACGTATCTTCACAGAACAGGAAAAGCAGCAGGTCACGTGCAGTACATATTTTACGATGTTTTTCGCATTCTGGGGCACCGGACCTGGAGAAAACGGCAGTAGTTAGAAAAGATGAAGACGATTGGGTCAACTAGATATTTCGAAGAGATTTAGACGGCTCTGTCACTAAAGAAGGATCGAATAAGGCACAGGCAAAAAAACGGCGCCTTCTAATCCTGCTCTAAATGAAAAATAGGAGTCGCAATAGTGTAGCGAATACCAATTATTCAACTACCCAAATAGAATGATGCAGGATATACACATTAGCCTCAAAAATTCCGCTAACAGTGGTAGAGCTGCTTCCAACTGTGGACCTCAGAGACGAAGATTTAAGAGCAGGTGCATTACGAAGAAGCAGGTGCATTACGAAGACCCATTCCCACAGTGGACCGCGTTCTCACGCTTATGAATTTGTTACTGCTTCACTACGCACACCTGGAAAGGTCTGATCGAAGCCTATTGTGTCGCGACTATTCGACAACCGTCCGAAAGTGCCCCAGTCTACGACCCGCCGCGATGTTAAGCTAATCCTGCTACATCGGCACTGAAGCCCCCAAAAAAGCACTGAAGTCTATCAGTGTCCGGACCACTGCACCCTTATCTTGCCCTGCGAACTGGCACAATCTGAATAAAACGGGTGCAATGGTCGATAGCAATACATAGAATGCCGTTCAGTGTCGCAGGCAAACCTCGCACTGGGCTACCACCTTTCGTATTGGTGTCCAAAGCCTAACGCCGATTAAAAGCAATCATTAACGTGTCGTATGGCTTCTGACTGCCGTTATGTGTTGTCACCAGCGTAAAATGGCTATTCTCACTTGGGGCAATGGGACGTAGACCGGCGTTTTTTTTCCTCCACATTGTAGGCCAATCTATCCTTGAAGCTATGTTAAAAAAATTTGACGATTCTGCGAAAGTTCCCCTGGGTAGCTTTAATTTTGTGCAATTCAAAGCCGATGCTATGCACCAGTGGGACAGTCGGCCACAATAAAGGGCCTTGAATATTTGCATATCCTTTACGAACGATAACTCCGTACAAAATATAAACTTCCTTTTTTAGATGGACGAGCTAAATCATACTGCTGTAGAATTAGAGAGGTTCATTTCGCCCTATTTTCTAAGTATTTCAGAATAATGCTATAACCCGAGTACTGCGAAGTACTCGGTTTTGAAAAAGGTGGCATTTAGTGTCAGTGTCAGTCAAATGACGTCTAGCAGATGCGACAATCCGCTTGCGTCTTCTACCGCGCTTGGTCTGATAAAACTGACTATAACCTCGTCATAACAGATAGGTAACAAAGGACGGGCTCAATTTTCGCCTGCAAAAAAAAACTGCAAAAAAAAACGAGTCCTGACGTATTCGGCTAGACGAGAGCAACCAGTCACCTCGGCAATCGGAGTATGGAGAGTTGCGGGTGCGTTTGTGAGAGCGAACGGCATGCCCATTGGCAAGCCTTTCAGTAATGGCTTTCACCCTACTGCAATAGGTGCAGATTTTCTTCTACCTGGTAAACGGACGAGCACCAGAGGCTAGACTAGAATTTGGAGATGCTCAGTATAATTTGAATCTCATCCTCTCTGGCCTGCCTATTGCCGATTGGAACCCTGTTATGATCAAGATACATATAGCTGAGTTGGCCCGGCCGCCTGCTTGGCTTTATTGGCCCACGAGAAGCGCCTTAAGGTTGTTCTGCCTTACTAGCAGCCGCGCGCTTAGCTTGAAAAAGCTATCGCCACTGAGGAATAGGAGGGACTCGGCTTGGTGTCTGTCCCATGAATCTGTGCACGCGTCTGTATTTACAACGCAACGCAAAGGAGACGCATATGCAATCTCCGGGGGGCGACTTCTTTCGACTAGTACAAATACGCCGGTGTTGCGCTAAGGCATGCTCCAATGCCCATAGAGTAGTGATCAAAAGTAGGGTCTTCCTCGACAATAACCTTTCTCGACAGTAACGGTTTGTCCAGGAGTTTGTCGACAATAAAGAGCATCTTTTGGGGTACGTTGTCGAAAATAGTGTCAACCACCCCAACACTATGGGCTGCGTTGGACGCGTCTCAACCAACCGCTGGAGGATCGGGTTTACGTACGACCCTGACTCGAATTATTTTACCGTAGGTTAATTTAATCTTGAGCACAATTGGTAACCGACAATTCCTTTTGTTCAGCTTATGTTTGGACGGAAGCAAGGCTTCGGGTGTTCCGCCCGTTCATGTCTTTACTCTCCACATGTAAGACACGTAAGACCAAAAAACCATGCTCTACTAAATAGTTCCATAATGGATTTATCATATTCTAACTGCACAGTAATACTATATTTGCGTTTAGGTAACCTTGCTGCATTGTTGATAAACTCCTGGGTAGTTTTGCGGCATTGTTTATAAATTCCCGAAGTCGCTTCCTATCGACAATCCTATGTTGACTTATTTTTCAGAATCCTCTGGCTTCAGGCTTACGCTGTTCCGTTCATGCGCGAAAACGAACTCCTAGCGGGCCATTTAGGCTGCATCGCTGGAACTGCAAAAAAGTCCGCCGATACAACAAAAGCCGCCGAACCAAACGATTTCTTTGCAATTTGGATGTCTTTGGGATTGGGCCTCGGAGGTAGCACTTTTGTATTTCTTGTAGAACTTTTATATTTTTGTTTAAAATAAAGTTCAACAAATCATTTTTAGGTAACAAAAAGGCTGAAGGTGTGCTCTTCGTGAGCAGTAAGTCGTAGCAGATTCTTCCATATATAAGCCTTAAAAACGCAATAAAACGCCTTATAAACCCGATATTTTTGAAAGATAAAAATATTATCATGCTTGTTGTTATTACACCGCTTTGAACAAGGTACTACAGCGGTTTTCGGCAGCCGCCAAAATCTGATACTGATTGTTTGTCAGAACGGCACCATGGTGGATGTGATGACAAGAGATATGCCACAATTTTTTTTATTTAAAAAGGAATATACACTCAGCGGGTGGTAATTTACAAGCAGGTGGTAATTTTTCTAGAGTTACCAAACACGTTTGCAGTGTAGACAACCGCAATAACCTTTGTATATATATATATATATTATTCGTATTTATTTTGAGTTCTAAAATTTCTAAAAAAGTTTTATTTTTCTTTGTTTTCTTGAAGGATGGTTTTTTGATGAAGATGATGATGACGATGGCACTTTTTGTCAGTTTTTACAGAAGTATCACGTCCCACCATGAAACTAGTTTCCGGCATAACACTTGGCATACTACGATTATAGTCACGATTTTACTTGTATTTCCTGGTTTTTAACATGGACACCTAGAGAACACTTGTAGGCAGTGGTTTTTCGTCGGTTACATTTGTTTATTGTTGTGAAGTCGAGTCGTTGTTCATACATTGACCGGTCCTGTGCAAGGGCTATGTTCTTAGTTCTGCCGACAAAACACGTGTCCCATAATAATTTGCCACGTTTGCGGTAGTACTGTTTTCCACAAGTACGAAGATATTTGCTACCTAACTATTAAGGAAACTAATTGTGCTCTGATTTACCTAGACAGTCGGGCGATTTTTGTTAAATGGAACAACAAAGTTCCTCGTTAGGATTAAAAACTCGGCATAAAACTTGACGTGTACCAGAACTAACGGTAGGTTGTAATTAATGAAAGAAACCTGTGTCTCTGTGTGACAATCATTCACCCGTCAGACCCTGCGCATTAAAGTCACGCTGTGTTAGAGTAACTCTACCGGAGTTTCTTTTTCTTTGTCAAAAAAAAATTAAAAAAATTTTTTTACAGTTTAGTGAATTCAGTTTTACTTTATGACGGGAGTATACAACAGATGGAGAGGATATATGTCAGTTCATTTACTCGATGAGGGAATGTTTTCATACAATCGAAACAGAAACGGGTACTGCTGTGTCTTGCCATTATGGGTTACCATTAATCTGCACAGCTATCTGTTACAGAACCTGCAAACAGCAAGAAGGATAATTAAACGAAGGCAACGAAGTGAATATTTTTATGCTCTTATTAGTTACTTTCAGAAGCGAGAGCACTAAGTAAATGTCTTCAGTAGCCGTCTGCAGTTGGGAATAGTTGGTACTCATCATAATTATAATCTAGTTTTGGCAAACAGTGTTCTTTTTTACGTACCTTGGATGATGCCTGCTGAATGCTTGATAGCATAAAGCTGCTGAGAGAACCACGTACTGCAAACGAGTTGATATTTTAGATCTAAAGATTGTAACAGGCAAGACAATGAATAGTAGAAAAATCAGTAGAGGGAGCTACATATCTCCATCGAGATTGGGTAGTCAGATAGATTATGATTCCGGTGAGCAACTCATCACATGTCAGAAATACCGTAGACAGAGGACAAGCATACCTTGTGGTACAATTTGTAGTTCTGCAAATTTTCACAAATAAGTAACATTTATTATTTGTCTACATTAGTTATTTATATTGAATTAGAACGTAGTTATGATACTTGTAGTACTCAGATGATGCTATATATCGTCATTTATATGTCAGACGGCACTTCCTATAAAGCTGATTCATCAGCTCGAATTATTCTTACGTAATTCTTGAATAACTCTAGAAACCACGCACCAAATTTTATTCGAAGCAATATGGCACAACTCGGACAGGTCACCTAAGGGTTAAGAAATGAAGGGTCCTTAGGTAATGTTGATTGTGCAGATTTCGTGAGGTCAAGGTAAAGTCAGTTGGCTGATGTCATCTTTCACTGGGCATATGCTCAGATATATGCTTGTCTATTTACGGAATCATCATTTATGTAATATTTTTGCAATTGCAAAATATTGTGTAATATTTCAGTCTTACCGGGTATAGTGTCCGTAGCTTGTTGATCAGGAAAATCTGTAATAGACGGATTATTACAGCTATAATTTTGTAATAATCTGACTATTTCTAACCGTATCCCATACCAGATTTCAGCTTGTGCCCCTTGATTGTCTTCAGCCAAGTCAGATATATGCTTGTCTTTTTGGTTCATCATTCTCAGTGTCAAAATGCTTAAAGAGTTCTCAGTGTCAAAATGCTTACCTTGCTGCGACAGTCGTGCGAAACGCCAGTCTTGAAGTAGACCTACATCAAAAAATAATCGAATTAATATCTAACGGTCAACAAACATGTGACAGTGCATTCTTCCAGGATGTCAAGCATACGCCTGTCCTTTAGCTTTCCTGGTCGCAGATACTGTGACCTACCGCAACCGCTAAGAAGTGTATTAGCTAAACATTAATGTAGCACCTGTCATCCCGCCTCGACGAACATATAACCCATAGAGGTTCTACACAGTGCAAAACTCCCGAAATAAATACAAATTCCATGTCTCAGTCATTTCTTCCTCGAGTTCTTAATGAAAAGAAACCTGAGGCTTTTAATAAAGAATTAATGTGCCTGTTCTGATTAGTTGAATAGCGTTCTACTCTGATCGCACCAACTTGCCCAGAAACAGGCGTACTCCGAAAAATTTTTTGTCGTCTTTTTTGAAAATTTGTCAAGTCCTTGTTATGCATAATCCCCTTTCTGGCCGTTGAACACAGCCAAGAGCTTACTCACTTGTCGTTGGCTTTCGCAAAGAAAAGCCGGCTAAACAAAGACGAGTGAAAAAAGTGACGGGTACAAATCTGCATCACACAGTTAGATAAGGCTTATGTGCGCAATTTAACGGGGCCAGCAAGATGTGAGACATGCTCCGCTGGTACGGTGAGTGCACGAATTTCGCTGTACCTGGCTTTTCCTGAATCCGTGATGACATTAAACATCAACGATTCCAAAGTTAACCAGGACTTTTATTGGACTACTGTCAATCAAGTAATAAGCATAAAGTGGTTGTTGACGCTCGGACAAGCCTTTAGACCAATACGGCCGTTCGGTTGAGTCCTCTGACGATTTCTGCAGTAGCTGGAAGGGTAATTATTGATCACAGCTCGCAGAAAACAGGCGTCTACAGTATTGCAACATTATGACACCTAGATTGTACAACAACCTCTAGGCTCTAATATATGTTGCTACTAAAAAAGACCGAGACACGTTGTCAAAACTAATCACGGTTGTATATACTATGATGCATTTCTCCGTACGCTTGTTTGTAGGCGGCAGTGACTGAAGACTTCGTTGAACCAGGGCAAATTCCATTGATCGACCTGTTACCTTCAAAGCAATACACGATAATTAGTTTACAATTTCTAATAACAAAAATTTTCAAACTAATTGTAAATTTCAGTAGATTAACGCAGAATGCGTAATCATGGAGCATCAGAGGTGTCCTAAGTTCTTTCATCACTATCGTAACGAAGAAAACCGACCGAAGGAATAAGTACTTACAGGCGCTGGACCGGGATTTGCATTGCGAACTGCAAGAAAGCAAATAATATTAAGTCTTACTTCCTTCCAATAACATTTGTCAATTTCGATATTAGTCAGGCATTCAAATGCACATTTAATCAAAACATTCAGTGGTCCTGAACAACTCATCATAATGAAATAACTTACGCGATTTATGTATTATAATAGAAAGCTTACCTGGAAGTGACAGAGGTACTTCCACGATGCAACGTACTTCCCCGAACTAGTGAAAATTCGAAAAGATATTTAATGAAATGATATCTCCTTATAAGAGGCTAGTAAATGCCTTTTAAATTAAAACCTTTTTAAAGAAATTTGTCAGGCAGAAATTATAGGGAACATCTTAATGAAATCATGTGGTAATCATTGAGCTGGGGTTGTCATCATAGCAGATCGAAACAGCTCATGTTTTTAGTTATGTCATAAATATATTTATGCAAACCTGAAAGATCGATTCCCCAGTTGAGTATTTTGAGATTTCGAGCATGGGATAATCTGTAAAGAGTCGAAGAGTCAAGACTAGTTTAATAACAGATTTTCTACCTTCGACCTGTCAAACGGATTTTATTCAGACCGCCTTAGTTCTAACACAGACACCCCCATCGTGTTGTCGGAAGTCGAGAATGTGGTCATCATATAACTATGGCGAGGTTGCAAGCGAACAGGGAAGTCACTTACCGAGTTTTGTATATTACGAGCAAAGAGCGGTGAGCTTTGGCTAAAAATGCAGATTCCACATGAACACAGCACCTGAAACAAAAACGCCTTATTACATAAGGCCAGCGAATATGCTTAATACATTCGCTCCTTTTGATCACATCAGCAGTAGCACTATTTTATCCACATTAATTTTTCAGACAGGGATAACTATGGTCATCACGAATTCAGCCGCTGCGACACGCAAATCGAATCGGGGTCCAGCATCATTTACCAATACTGTATAACCTAAAACGAAATGAATAAATAATATTATAAATAGATTTCATTAATATGAAAATATTTGAGGCAAGGGTTCAGAAGTATCGACAATCTACAGATCAGGTTCAGTCCGCCCGTCGATCAACTTCATCATGAATTTGTTTAGTGAAAAAGCGTAGTTACATATACACACCTTTTCCGAGAGACTTTTCCGCAGACAATATTACCAGTGCGATAATCTGAAACCATTTCGAAATAATAGAAAGTCACAAGATATGTGGCACATCTTTTTTTTAGACTTATTTCTATTAGTCAGATTGGTTGGATGGTGAGTAATGTCCACCACGATTTGGTATTGTCGGTTAAAGCAAATCATCTTAATAGAGGTGGTATCTAATATTGTAATCATGTAACGACTTACTTGGCACTCCTTACCGCGGATGGCTTAATTTAACGGTATTTGTACTGCCTAGAATACAACAGCACCTTATGTTTACTGCGCTTGTAATTTCACTGGCTTCTAACCCTTTTTTTAGATATTCAGAATAGCGTATATTAGGTCACCAGTGGACGGACAGGTTTAGTTTAACATCCGTCTCTGTATGCAATTTCTCGACTTCCTCATTTATGACTAAATAACGTTATTAAACGTTATATAGTTTAATAACTATATATTAGTTATAATTACTAATAATAAAATAAATAAAGTCTTTAATTACCTTAAAGCACCATGGTACGTCAGTTCTCAAATTCTGGATATCTGCAATGATGTTTTTAAAATTATTGTTAAATTTTATTGAAAATTACAATTTAGAGAAAACTTGCTGTTTTCAGATATAATGCTTTCATTCATTTGAAATCAGGAGAACGAAAGTAAGCAACAAATACATCATAACAGTATGTGAGATCAAAAATGTCTCGAACCTTCGGTACGGAATAAAAGCAATTAACTCCAATCCCGCGTTTTAGGGTGGATTATTATCACCCCATAAAACGCCCCACAAATAATTAATTTATTTGCAGGGAGCTGGTGGGGACAAAAATCCTCACATGTTCACATCCTTCCGTGTTTTGTTTCCTCACGAATCCACGACAAGATTTATTATCACAAACGTCATCGGGAGAACTAGGTGTTACTATATTCTAGTACTTTGTGGCGCTTGAACGAAGTTAATAACTTATTATTGGTTAGCGATTATTGATCCTGAGATGAATAGCAAAGCAGGGTTATCATTAAATTGTATTGTTCGGTAACATTATTAGTCCGTGACGCTCTTATGAGTCGCAGAACCGAATTTGCGATAAAATGAATAACATTTTAATGATAATTCGCTGTGATTTTTTTACGTTTGATGAGCAATAATACTTACTTTATGGTATTATAGTTTATATGCTCGTAACGTACATTGCGAAAGAGCAGACTTCCTGAAAAAAAAGATTTTAGTTAACCGAGTTCCCACTCTGCTAAGAGACCATGGAAGAAAGCATATATTAATCAGGTGGGTTGGTGTAACTCTTCAACGAGCAACAAGCTCAGTAGCAGAACTGAGTACTCATCATTCAACGTAAAGATATAATAAATCGAAAGCAAAACACACCTTGTGGATTGCTTGCTGACCAGGAAGTCACCAGGATTGAGATATTGTTGTGGATTGCTTGCTGGACGGGAATTTTCCGAGAGGTCGAGAACTTCAGTAAAGAAAGTACAAAGTTTAGCTCTTTGACTTTAGTTCTCTGAAGCAGCCGCAATTCACTGACTACAGTCAGGGGTTTCTTGGATTGAAATCACAAAATTTCAGACGAACGAGACATCGAATTTCATCCTTGGATAGCTAGTATATATAAGCTAATTTAGCAAACGCTCACCCTACGCTGTCTAATAGTCTTCCTCGGAAGCGGAACTGCGGCTTTCAGGTTCCCTGAAATGCATTTTCTTAGTATTAGTCGATATGTGACTCTGCGACAAATAGCTAGTATAAGAGCTCCGTTCTCAGTTTTCTACATGTATCAGCATGATTCTTCAGGCGAAAGATGGTGATAAGTAGGCTCATCATACGGAACGCAATAAATCCTACAATGTCATCGAAGTATAGAAGTCTATTGTATCTGAACAAGATGGTGATAAGTAGGTTCATCATACGGAACGCAATAAATCCTACATGTCATCTAAGTATAGAAGTCTATTGTACCTGAACCTGCCTCTTAAGGCACTTCAATTGCTTGCCTTTAAGCAGTTTACAGGTCAGTCATATTATACGGACTACTCTAGCACAAATGCGCCCTATAAGGCGTCACTAGTGACTCAGGCCCGATCATAAAATAATAAATAAAAAGAAAAAGTAACAAATACAAAACTAGTGTTTTGTAATTACTCACTACTGCGCTGACTGAAGTACACACCTGACCCAACGGTTACTGCCTATAACACACCGGCATAATCTGCCTGTTAAAACCACGTAGAGTCATAATTCATTTGGTAATACGCCTGTGTTGTCAAGTCAAATCAGCTGAAGCGCGGGTCGGTAATGAATCGTCATTGTCCTATCCTTGATTGATCAGACCAATCATCATATTAACTCTACTTAATGAAAACTGATAATTTTTTCAAGTACCTTTAATGTAGAGTGATCCAGATGGCCATGTACACCACACAAAGCATTGGAATGACAGGGTTTATCCTGAAATCTAAAGACTAAGAAATTAATTTCGTTACTCAAATGGATACGCGAACATAAATGTACAATTATCAATCAGACAAATGCCTTTCCCGCATCACACATACGTGAGAAGTGCACAACTTCAGCGAAAACCGCCTCTACTGCTTACACTCACTTGTAAGTCTCGTCATCGTGTCATCATAGTGTCTATCAATGTCTCAATGTAGTATACTAACTAATGTGCTGTGAAATCAGATAATCGTACCAGGTTCATCAATTGCTTGCATTATAGCGTTACGGGTAGAAAAGCCACCTGCAAGCAAACGTCCTAGTTTTTAATTAACAGCTGCATTTCGCTACAATAACAATGAGCATTTTCCAGTACACACATCAGGCAAATGCCTCGGACTTCACAGATCGCACTCCCAATAGTTTTTCAGTCATCATACAAACCGCTCGTACATAAAATACTCGACCCAGAATTTTCCGATAGCTTACATTTACATGCATTTCGCTAGCTCCTACGTTATACAGGACTGCAGCACCTAAAAAATTGAACGTATTATATTAGGTCCGACTTTACTCTTGAATTTTCACATTCTTACGCGTTCAGTATCAGGTAGGAGCGAAAGACATTTGATAAATTGTAATCACTTCCATCATTAACTCTTCCATATCATCATATACGATCCAATACTAAGTCATGTTTCTAAAACATTTAAGATAATGTACCATGTAATATTTATCCAAATCACTTACGTTTTTATGATCACTACAATCATTGAAGATTAGTACGGCCGCCATGATGGCCAAGTAGCTGTCCATGCGGCCACATACACACGGATCCTATGATCGCAAAATTTTTCCTGTTTAATTTCTAAAGGATGTTTGTTTGAGGTGCACTCGTTTGATACGATTGATGCAGAATAAATTATCAGAGATCTTGGTTGGTAATTGTGGTAAATCCTCACAAGAAATCGGTACCGTTTTGCTCATCACGCTTTACTTGAACCACGTGGTGCAATGACAATAAACGTAATCGTAAGCTAGAATTTAGTAATAACCATGACAAAACCTTTGCATTTACTGCACAACCTGATGTAGCTTGCGTGGTAACAAAGCCACATCAGTATGTGGTGAGCGGAAGCCTAAACTATATTCAAACTTACGATTCTGTAGTTCTATTCACTTACCAATTCTAACTCAAATCGTTGATTACATAATGTAACGATATCTTAATGACAGCTTACCGCAGACAAGAAATGGACGACAATAGGGAAACCACGTGAAAATGTGCAAACGATGCTTACATCTATTACATACGCATATTTTTACCAGTAGCCGCTTCCAAACTTAGTGTAGGCTTACCATGCGAGCAACGACGCTGCCCATCATCTCGCTAGAAAAGACCTTTTGCAATACGAGAGGGCCGCTCTTATAACGTGAATAACAGTGCTTACTCCTTCCCCACATGCCCTCTCCTCTTAAAAGATATTTGAATCTCAACTGGCGCAAAATTGATTCCAGCGCCACCTCTGACACCACACGTTTTCCGCTGAATATTTATGAATGAATTTTTGTTTTACTATACATTTTGAAATTTTGGAGTTTTTTTAGATATCTGCATGAACTATAATAGCACTTCTGCAAGAAAATAGAAATTAGGAGAACAAACATATTTTGTGACGCTTTTACTTATACAATTGACTTGAAAGACTACTCTCTTAATTAGAGAAATACCTCTAAAAATTGGCGCATGATACATCTTTTTAGCTGTACGAATGATTAGTATCAAAACGCAATCAAAACTGTCGACGCAAGCAGATAGCCACAGATTTTTATGAACCCATTTGTTTGTACCCGCGCTAGCATAAACTCATTTTGTTTTACTTGTGTTAAGGTAGAAAACATCGAGTAGTGGTTAGTGCAACACAAGTTGAGTAACACGATTTCCATGTTGATGGCACGGATGATGCTAATGGCCGGCTCGGTATTTGTAAACGATTGCACAACGTTGTTTTCAAACGTCGAAGATAAGAAAGAAGTTGTTGGCGTCGGTCTAGAGCCTATCAAATGAACCGTATGCTCTATAAAGAAAAGCAACCTTTTTTTTTGCAAGAAGCAAATACGTGCGCAATTGCCGTCACTTTTCCCCTCTCTAGGAAAAAGCTCTAGCGACCCACACTCTAAGGACTCGTTTTGGGTCAGGCAAATCTACTGGCCTAGACCTTTAGTAGTATATATTATGCCTAATACATATCATTATTTACGCGCCTGGTCAAGCGGTTTCGGTGTCTAGTTTCGATCATATCAAGTCTTAAAAACGGCCGATCTTTGGGCCTGTTACACAATTTTTCAACGTGTGTTCCCATGTCAACAAACAGAGAAATTTTTAGTTTCTAAAAAAGTACTAAAAAGGTAGGTAGAAGTTGTTCATAAGAGCTTTGTTATATTATATCTGTGAAACGGCTAAGGTCGCACTTTTTTACGAAATATTATAATTATATGATTTATTTGTGGTATAGGTTTACTACTTACACTATAGTCATCAAATTGCTTATTTTATATTTGACTTAGTTTCTTAGTATTCACACCATACTATTATATTAAAGTACAAGACAACGATAACTACTGAAATTTTTCTCTAGGGAACTAGACTCTCCTGTGTCGTTTTCTTCAACGTAACTTTAATTAAAATATTTCCTGTCCTAATGGCTCAAAGCAAATAAAAATTTATTAAAGAAGGGATGGCGAAATATTATTTCGAAAAATTCCTTAATTGAATTATTAAAAATACCTGAAATCGATTTAGACACAATACTGCGGTTCTTGACTAACATTTATAGTTCCATTTTTACTTATTTGATTTCACTTTGAGGAATAATTTAGTCCGCTAAAGTGATTATACTTCTCAATTACTTGAGGATCGAGAAAAAACAAGTTGCGCAAAAAAATTACGAAAAAAACATTTTTATGAAGTGCATCTAATTCAATGCGCAATGTTATATGAAAAGATCTGCAGTGCAAGTGCTATACTTTTTGCCTCCACCAATGAAGTTTACATATGATGTGGCGTGCTCACACAGCCACTGCCATCGTCACAGAACTATCTGAAAATATCGTTTTAGAATTCTCAAAGGAAACACAGAAGCAAACGGGAAAATACCCTCTACAACGACTCGATTTATGCATTAATAGCGTGATGGTTGAGTTCCAATTCAGACTCGCTGCCAAAAGTTTGCCGAGAACTGAATGAGAATGCCTTAAAAAATATGTCCAATCAAATAAAGTTAATTATTAAGTTGTTGCAGAAGTTCCAGTAGTTCTAGGAATTTACAATCATATATATATATATATGCGGAGAAGGCCAAAAAGAAAAAGGTCTGTAGTGGAGAGAAACATTCTTCACACCATTATTTTTCGATTAGGCCACAAGCAGGCTCAAGCTAAATAATATGACGCCAAATTAAAAGTTTTTAACTTTTCACAGTAGCCAGCTGCATCGAATAGAAGACCTTTAAAGCAGTGGTTTTTAGCACTGAAAAATAAAATCTTATTTTTTCACATGAATACTTTGATAAAAAAAAAAATAAAAAAAAACATAAGAATAAACAGTTCTTTGAAACTTTTCTGTTTCGTTCATCTAAAAGTAAATAAAATTTTTCCTATTGGCGTTATCTATTCCAACTTTAAAATAGTCGTTGCAGTGCAAGGTAATTTCAGTTTAGAATACCTGTGGCGATATATTTATTACGATAGGTACTTTAAAACACCTTTACGCCGCGATTGTATTTCTTAAATAACACGTGAATAAAGAACTCCTCTGAAATTGTGTCACTCGAGACGATCTTCTTTGATTTCCCTTTAAACAAAATTGGTCCAAAAATAATAAATTGAATTTCTAAAAAGAACGCGTTTAGCACTAAATTAGCACTAAAAAAATATTGACCATATCAACGGCATACTAAAAATACTGATATAACATTACGTTTTTGTGGATGCTGTGAATCTTATGATAGCACTCGAAACAAAAGTAACTGTATTCCGCTATAAGAATCCTCCAAGACGACCTAAGGCGATGCAGTAAGGAAATAAGACACCTTCTTTTTACTACTTAAAATGTATCGCACTGTACTACCGATACAGAAACTGAACGCAAAAATATGCACTAAAGGATGTTAATTTAAATATGTGCATACATTTTTCTGACTCATTAATGTTTAACAAGCATTGGTGGCTCAAGGGAGATTTGCACTATGCTGTTGAATTTCCCAGGTTTATGAATGTAAGCATTTCTGGCTGCATTTAATGATATGAGTCACATGTATAATAGCACACTTACTGATTTAAACTTCGATTACTCGACACGACGAGACAAGAAGAACAAGATTTGCTAAAGAAGATACACCAGATATTTTCCGTAAAATGGAGCACTGTCAGGAGGTGCAAATTGAGGTTAAGGATTTGCAAGTGTTATTAAACAGAAGACCACAGAAAAAAAAATGCCATCTGTTGATGTAACGTACTGCACATTAATAAACTTTGATGTACAGTAAAACTGGATAGTGATTTTATGAGAATATATACTGTACATGTGGCAAAGTAAATAATAAATACTTTTTGTACATAAAAGGGGGAGTAGCACGTACGAAGTTAGGTGTCACTTCAGAGAAGTTTACATCGCTTTTATAGATACGAATCGTACTTGTACAACAATAGACTGATTTCACTAATTTGAAGACGATATAGATAACTACTACGCAAAGTATGGCGTGGGCAGAGATTACGTTGCATAATTTCCTTACTTTTTTTAGGTCTAGAATAGTTTTATTTTCATAATATTGGTTAATTAACGCTAAAAGTATTTTAAATCACAGATATCATGTTCCCAAAAAATTACGTTTTAAGATTAAGAAGTCTGTATAGCTTTCTACTACCATGGAGCTGTGTTCCTATTGCCTAATATTATTTACACTTCTTGCACTGTTAGCATTTGCTTGCTGTAATATGGAAATAGCTTAGCTTCTACTAAACAAAATAAACCGTGTTTAACACTAAGCTGGAATATGGGCTTAATACCCACCAAATCTCATCCGCTTTTTTATTTGCAAACATTTTAAGTTTTCTTGACACATGGTAACGTGTTTTCATAGTGTGAAGACATGATACCTTGATTTCGCATCAGGGTCTTAAGTTGTACAGATATCTTTTATTATTACAGTAGTAACCAAAGCGACGTAAAGTGGTCTTTTCACCCAAATCACAACATCTCTGAACAATCATATTCCAACAACAATCATTTATTTTTATTTGGTAATGACAATGCTCATTCCTTAGTGGTCTAACTATATGCGACATTAGATACATGTTCCTAACGACTAGAAAAGCAGACAGCTTCCTCAGCTGTTCGTGTTTTATCAAGACTCATCTTTTAGTTTATTTGGCTCTCAAAGTACGTCTTCTTTTTTTTTATTTTTTTTAATGATTGATTACTGATTGGAAAGATTGGCACTGCGCTACGTATGAAACCAGCTGTAAAAACTATATTTTTAGATTTCTTTCGGGATCAGCTTCCGTCTCTTGTTCAAGATATATACACAATACTAATATGTAGTAATTGCATATCTGAAATATACTTTTTTTTTAATCAATTACAATATGCTTTATAATTCAGATCAATTAATCTGAAGACCATCATCTAACTTTATATCTCACTGTGAATTTCTCTCGTTCACACCGTTTGTGTAGGCATACTTATATCTACGACATGTACATCCAGCAGAATAGCATTAAACGGCGTACAAGTTCACATGTTTTCGCCTGTTGGTTACCCAAAATAGCGCTGCTGCAACGTTTTCTAAGATTCGCGGCGATCTAATACAGTTATTATACATGCTCTCAGACTTCGTTCCTTAGATATATTTATTCTTCTAAGATATCTCAAAATATGACATTTATAATATGTTGAGCACCCTGCAAACATCCAGCCATAAACAATAAAAACACATAAATGACCTTTTCCAATTTGGCGCCGTTTTTCTCCTTACCTGACCCAGAAATGCCCTTCATTTGCTATGTGTGCTTTATTAATTTAAGATAATGTTTTGGTTCTGCTGTGTAGGAAGCAATACTAGTGAGCACTTCTGGCAAAGACCAAACTTTCAGAATTACACACTTAGTAGTTACTCGGGTATAAGTTACGTACTTGTATAGCAGATTAAAAGGCTATACAGTATATAGCTGTTAAATGCCCGCTTCTTACAAAGAAGTCATTTAGTGTGAATATATTGTAATCGAATATTTTTTGTAGTATTTCATGTTGAATTTTCGAAGCGCGCGGTGTAATTTATCGCCACCTAAAAAAGCGTTTTCTAAAACCTGGGGTTACGAGACCTTGCTAACTTTAGTTCGACAAGGTTTAAGCACGGGGGTTAAAAAAATGCCGGAAATTGGAGAGAAACGTGATGCATCATCGCTAGGGGATACCACTATTACGGATGTGGCTGAACAAAAAAAACCTCGAACCAGCGCTGAAACTCGCCTACTCAATCAGGTACATCCAATGGGACTACTTAACCCACCCCTGCTTGTTTCAGTTTTTGCGTTATTAATCTAATATGAAAACTTATCTTACTCAACTTATAGGGTTACTTGGTCTTTGTACTACTAGTAAAAAGATCCTAAGCTGTTTATAAACATTTAATTGCGCGGCCGGTTAAATTTGTTGTCGCCTGAGCGCCGTGACTAAACCTTAGTACACTTCAACATGTGAAGTAAAGCACACAATTTCATAACTTAGAGTAAAAGAAGGAAAAAAGTATTTTTGTCTTTCAAGTGTTTCCTAACGCGTTGTACTACTTTTTCTTTGACACGGTAAAAGGATTGGTCTGTTAATATGGTCAGCTTTGCAAATAATTGATGCAAACATTGAAATGTTTTGCGTAATATTTTAGACTTGTTACATTTTATTTTGTTATAACTCATCGCGTGCCACAGACCGAAGCGGTTGCTGCGCCTGATGGATGCAAAACCTTGAAGACTTCAGAGACAGATAATTTAAAAAGCAGTTCGTCAAATGCGGATTTTGAACAAAAATGGAAACTCAAAAAGTTTGCCATGTGTCTCATGTACTGTGGGAAAGGGTACCTCGGCATGCAGAGGAATCCTGGCGCAAAAACGATTGAAGAGGATTTACTCAGGGCATGTCTTAATGCAGGATTAATTACGGAGGACTCGTACAACAATCCACAAAACATGATGTTCCAAAGGGCCGCTAGGACAGATAAGGGTAAGCCGCTTCGTCAAAGACGCACCAACCTATATTAGATATTAATACGTTATGCACAAATTCTAGACTAAACACAATGTGCATTACACTTAATGAAGGTGTGAAAATGAAGTTCAGCAGGGTCAGCGTTTGTGTAAAAGCTTTTGATATATTTAGTGGATCTGTAAACGGTGAACTTGCATAAAGCTTCTAATAAAGGAGAACATGTTTGGGTCCAGGCGTATCTTTTAACTGGAAGGTCTGGTGCAAGGCGACACGTTTTGTAATAATATTTATTTGAGATGACTGTGAAGAAACGTGATTCTTGGCGTAAAGAATTTCACAACTGTCGGTTCGGGACTATTTTTGGATGTTGGCACACCTGCTTCTAATTAAATTCCTTTAATCATATGTTACCGTTTTTTAGTGCTCGATACTAACTATGCTTTTCTCAACGAGAAGGGAATCCAAACCTATTTTATTTAATGTTTCTTTTGCTCAAATAAAAACCGGCGCTAATCGTTCGTATACAAGTGAATATTCTTTCAATTATTTAAGAACGTGTGGTATTACTAAACAGTGATTGGCTGCCTTTTTTTGAAGTATAGCTTTTTTGTGGCTGCTTTCGCCAGCTCTTTTTATGCTCAATTGAGAAGCAAAAATAACGTATCTAGAATTTTCGTCTGAATATATCGCTTACATTTTTTTTCATTTTCTCAGATTTCACATGCCAAAAACCTGCTGTAACAATTACCAAGAAAAATTCAGAATCTTCAGCAAAGTCTATCTTAGATACTTTTAGGAACTGCACTTTCGACGACCTCAAATGGCTGTATGGGATGCGAGTAATAAAACACAGTATGTTAGAAAATGTTTCATAAAAAATTTATTTTAAGATAGCTAAGCTAGGTTAACATGCATATTGTTATTAGACTGACGAGTGAGCTTAGCCTATTCTACCATTAATTCAGTTAACTAATCTGATTCGAGCAATTCACATCCAGCTCAACATGAGCTTACAGCTCGGAAACAGACTAGCTGTTCATGCGTTCCGATCATGTTCTATGTGATACGTTATTCCTTTACAGATACTTTATCGGTTTATTTCAGGACGAATTAGTTAATTATACAGACTCTAAAATATTATAGCTTGATTGAAAACCTACACTTTTCTGAGCTAGTTACTTGGTTACAATTTTTCTGAGAACTCCTGTTGCAAAATAGTGTTATCGCGAGCCAGTTTTACGGCTATAGTACACTTATCTTCCTGATTATGTTAATTCATTGCATCATTTCTGTCAAAGCTGTAATTCTATAACCGTGTTGTGGTAATTGCGTACCCTGCTGTGCTAATCTCGATAGCCTGCTGATGTAAAATTTAGCATAACTTGAATTGTGATATATACCAGCCGGTATTCTGTTGCACGGCCGCTTCATCGTACACCTTTGCACTTGTCTTCTTCTCTCATTAAAATGTTTACGAGAATTAAGAAGTTTACTTGATGTTGCATTCATTTGCAGGTTGTAGCTAGCTGGCCGTGATGATTCTCTTTTCCTGGTTCTTAATCAGTTAATATCTTAGCAGCATTTATGCCGCTATAGCTAAAGACAGATTGCCTACCCCATTTTAAAAAAATTCTAACAATCACGTTGTTGCGCTGTAGTTATCTGATCAGCCTGTTCTACTACAGAGTTGTCGAAAAATTACTGATAATTTTTTTTAGCTACAAACTGGGGTAATAATAACGAAAAAAACTTCAAAATATTATTGAAAGTATAAAAATATAGCAGAAGTAACATGTAAGTGGAAAACTTACATTACAATAATGGTATAAGCTATTGATGGAGGAGGTTGGAACCGAAAAAAATTCAAATAATATTTGGCTATAAGACAATCTCATTATAGAAATTTTTCAAGCAAATAGATAGGGCAATGAGGTACCATAGAACATCCCGCCCGTTCCTCAGACTTAAAACCAATGGTCTTTTCGTGGGAATATCTTAAAAGTAAAGTCTACGTGAGAAAGTCAAGGACTCTAAAAAATATAAACGCGGCAATTAAGCATTAAGTGAAATATTTGTTGAAGTTGCGTATCAACAGCAATTATCAACAGTGTGTTAATCGAAACGGTAATAATTGCGAACATCTGTGGTAGGAAGAAAAGTCAAATATAGAATTTGTGTAGATTCTTTTGAATCTATGAGCAATTGAAATGTTATTCAAATATAAATAAAAGCTAAAATTATCTTGATTTACACTGTGCATGCATTCTTTGGGACACCCGCTATCATTACATAATTTAGCAATTGTTCATCAGCGTTTACTAGAAGGATGGCTATAAGATTCCTTTTTGACGCATTTACCTATTCTTATTGTGTGAACAAGTCCTCGGAATCTCCTTTTTGGTACAGCATCGAAGACTTTGCTCCGCTAAAAGGTCAAGCCGGGTGAGTCTTGTTGGAGTTATATGGGCTTTCCCGGCATGCTAGTCATCTGCTATAGTAACCATTTGTTAATGCTAAAATTTGAATGGCTGCATATGCATTCTTACCAATGCAATGCACTCAAAGAGATGCGGACTAGCATCCTACACGGCTCCGTCTGGCAGAATATTCAGGCACATTTGCAATGTGCCATCACTAGCGTAGCTGATGGTGTAACAAAAAACCCTATGGGGATAATATTTCTACTAGTGATGACAATACCATTGTAGACTTACTAAACTTACCATTGTCACAATGGCTTGCACATGCTAAGATTGGCGTGCTTATGTAGTTTTTATATAAGCAGAGGCTGCGCTCTAGTAGCTCCAATGAATTGTACATCTTCTGCTATTCTCTTTTTCGTGTGCCCCGGGAGTTTAAAAAATAATATATAAAAACTTTGGCCAAGTAGCAATAATGTTTGACCTAAAACCTCTCATTAAACTAGCCGAATGCGCTCCTTTTTATCCATGCATCGCAAATTCGAATGTTGAAATCGCATCGAATCAAATCAAAAATCAGCTATTGGTGACTTGCAACATCAGAATAAATAATTTAATTCGTACGCATACCTGAAGATTTCGTTGGGCAATAGAATATACTGTTTACAACGAAAAACCAGTGCTGCAAAATTACTTTTAGTTTTAATAAGCACACAGCAGCACCGATTTAAATTCTTGATCATAAGAGTTAAAGTCTAGCTTATAAAAAAAACGTTGCACGCACAGTAGTAGCATTAACCATTGTTTTAGAATAAAACGAACTATACTGACGCTTGGTTCGAACTTAGACTGCCACGTGTTATTAAATTTAGTAAACAAATAGTTTAGTAGTATGATCTAGTTTATAAGATTTTAATGGTTACAGGTCTGAGGACTGAGTAGGATTGAACGTAGAATATATTGACAGTAATTGAAAAGCATCATCTGCGATCATTACTTAACATTTTCGTTAGCCGCAAAATTGAATTAGAACAAGTTGAAAAAGCAAGTATCAAATACACCAATAATGATCTAATATGTTACTCTCCCTGTAATGAACTAACAATAACGGTTTACGAATTAATACATGAAAATTTTTGCGTTTGCTATGCCAGGATCAAATGATATAATAAGCAGGTTAAATTTAAGCGAACATACAACTATAGCAAAAAGTTAAGGTATGTGTTCTCATGTTCCTTAATATAACCATACGAGACTGACTATGACTGTCTAAATTATTATTCTGCTTATACTTCAAATCGACTTGTTATGTATTTTTTCTTTCATTAGGTGTGTCGGCAGCTCGGCAAGTCGTTTCCTTGAAGCTACCAACAACAAAAGGCAGCCCAGAAGAAATGACAGGGGCCATCAACGCGAGACTTGTTGACCAGATTCGTGTGGTTGGACTCAAAAGAGTCACGAAGAATTTTAACTCGAAGAACAATGCCGATGCCCGGACATACAGTTACGTTATGCCCACCTTCGCATTTGCTCCGCCAGATGTAATTGCTAATGAAAAGTACAGGCTTACATCGGACAGAGTCGAAAAGGCTAATAGCTATTTGAAGGTAATCTGAAAAACAGGTACAGTGTTACAGTCTTTGACAAATGTTTTGATTAAGTTGTAAAGTTCTATTAAGCTTACGTAAATATAACATTATATACTTCTCAACAAACTACAGACACTACTTTTAGTAATAGAATCAACGCGAGTTTTTTTAATGTACTTTGTTTACATTATATATATATATATATATATATATATATATATATATATATATATATATATATGTTTAAAATGATTTAGGTTATATGTGACCTAAGGTAAAATATTAGGCACTTTCGTTTTTAGTTTTCTTTCTCAAGTGAAGTAAGCTACGTTGTTCTGAACAATTCTGAACACTTATAATTTTACAAGGCCTCTAATCCCACAAGGCATATAGGAATAAAGTGGATCTATATATAACAAAGCATATATATATTTATTACTGTTATGAAATGAATTTCAAGTCCAATATTCTAGTTTATACTAGATGTACCAGGGGGCTATGCTGACTAGTATTTTACTAAGAGTTTTACGGAAATGCACAAGTGTTAACTTCACTCGATGTATTTGAAACAGCGAATTTGTTTCTTTTGAGATGCCTAAGGGTGTAGCTGTCGAGAAGGAAGATGCTATTATTCTAGTTACACAGGAGAGGTCCACTGCTGCCTCAGGCACGCAAGGGAACTGGCTAAAGCAACAATTGACTGTAAATGTAAAAAAAACAGTGAAGGTAGTATAAGACCTATTTGCTAGAGGATACTGAGTGTGTAGTAAGTGCAGATTGATATCACAGTATAACGATAATCATGTATCTTCTAAGATCTTTTTCTAAGAATGTACTGAATCGATTTCATCCCAACAAAGTTGCGAACATCGTAATATGCAATTCTACATCCAAACTTGAAAAGCGATTTAATTGGGTAAAAAAAAGCAAATTTTATAATGTTTTCCTCTCAAAGGCTTTGCTTTTTAGTGTGGCTTTTGTATAACTTCCTGCCGTAGAAATCGATAAATGTTATAATCGAGTACTCTGTAAGCAAGTAATATTTTTAGTACATCAGTGACATATTAATATAAGATAAACGTTACTACTATGAATAAAGATAATGTAATATCTTTGTTAGTTTTGCATTTATTAATTAAAGTTTCAGTGCATGTTTTTTTTTAAGAAAATCAGCAGTTTTTCAAGTTGATGAAAAATTAAGTATATAAGAATAAGTAAAGATCAGATGGTGTTACAAATAAAATGTTTTTGTAAATTTTTGCGATATCAGTGCTTCAATGATGCAATCTTTTTACTTTTCCTAAATAAATAAAAAAGCACAAAACAACGAAACAGATAATATTATAATTAATAAACAATATTAGAATACTTAACAATATTGAATAGCAATTTGTGGCCCTCGTTTGCCCAGAGTTAACGATATTGCATACTGTAGCATCTGCCATGATACATTCATTTTGGTCTTAAGATTCGCCTCAGTGATACCCAGTCGGTGAAACTTTTTGTACTTATTTAAAAATTCCATTATTCTAACAGGGAGCCCTTTGCAGGGCTACGCTCTGCGTAATATAATGGCGCAGTGTAACGTAATGGTAACCCGTAAATCTGAAATCTGTAATCATATGGCCTAAATAGTTTTAGTAAATTCACTACCTGATATCGAGTATCGCTGTTTAGCTGTAAAACGGTCAGTTCTTTTCCAGTACAAAAGTTTTTTAATCGTAGTGCACCTATATATATATATATATATATATATATATATATAAGATGTAGCATCCAATTGGACCACCAATTTTTTACTATATAAAGTAACAAACTATATCGTACTGTGTACTCTACCAAGAGTACGCAGTTTATGATATAACACGAGAAACGATTAATATAATAATACGGGGCAGTAATAAGAGCGATCTAACGGTAAAGTCCATCGAAATTTCCAACATTCAACATATAAATAGTGTTTTCTCACGGTGGACGCTTTCTAGTTGAGAATTTACTCTATCCTAATGAATATCAGACAAACCTTTCAAAAGAAGGCCAACTACATACATGCATAAGTCTTACGCTTTGTGCTTGGCAGAGTTAATAAAAAAGTCGCCATAATTATTTCATGAGCCTTTTTGCGCGAAGACATGCTTTTATATAGTGCACAAAATATAAGCAAGCGGAAAGCAATGCTTCGTGATTCCTCTTATTCTTATATATGTTTCTTAGAGAGGGCTAATATTTACAACTAAATACCCCTCGCGACATATTCCAGCATTCGTTAACTGAAAGTAATGTCAAATTTTACCACTAGTACCAGGACAAGTAGTACTGTTAGCGATTCTGTTTTGGAATTATTTCATATGAAGCAATGAAACAAAGACAGGCTGTTAATACGTCACAACGTTAATAATTATCCAAAGGAAGTTTTTTTTTTTTTTAATATTTCATAGAAGAAAGCATTAGCCATGAAAAACAATTATTTGCGTTTATCGTTATGAACTGATATAACTGAATACAAAACAAAATAAGAATAAATTATTCTATATAAAGTGCAGATATGCAGTTCTTCATTTAATCGGAACTTGAAACAGGGTACGAAAGGTCCTTTAAAAGTCAGTTGTTCTACAGGTGAGCATGTCTAGTTGACTAACTTATATTTGCAGAGTTCCCATAGTACATAGTATAATGAAAGCTCTGTTACTAATGAAACACTATTAAAAGAAAATAATTTTACCTCTCAGGAAAGAATAACTAGATCAACATTACCGATTTTACAAACTTCTTTAATTTCCAATTTCAGTTATACTTGGGCAGTCACAACTTTCACAACTTTACGGCAGGGAAATTGTCTAATGATCCGTCTGCGATGAGGTATATTAAGGAGATTGAATGCAGTCAGCCCTTCCTCGTTGATAATTTCGAGTATGTGCAAATACGCGTCAAAGGTCAAAGCTTCATGCTTCACCAAATCCGTAAAATGATCGGGCTTGTCATTGCTATTATGCGCGGCAATACAGAAGATAGCATTATTAAGCGTGCCTGGGGTCCTGAAAAGGTGCGGAATCATAGTAGTTTACCTCACTACTTAATATTTAAAATTTTTTCTACTCCTCTAAGGTTCCCAAGTGTCTACACTTGAAAGTAAGAACATTAGAGACAACATAAACATTGTGCATAATGTATATAGGAATCTAATTGCACATTTTAATTAAATCTAAAGTAATGAAGGCAAGAATGTTAATTGAAGATAATTGTTGTGTTACGTGCATAGTTCCAGTAAAAAAAACCTTTAGTTAAACCAATACTTCGTGTACTTTCAGTATTGCATGCTCTGCTAGCTCGTCGCTGTAAATACGTGGTCGTATTGACACTAACATATTTAGAAAGACAGTGGTGACCGTATGCTTTAATGCAAACAGAACCACAACACAACTATAGCGAAGTAATGAAGTTCAACTTGCTGACCTGAATACTCTGATTTCGCTGATTATTTTTTTATGGCAGGATTACTTCGCGAATAGTACCAAAATAGCAGGACTTTTAAATTAGCTGTTTATTGGAATTTGTAAACTCTTACATAAGAGAACTTAAAACTATTGTAGCTTAGTAATACCGGGCCAATATTTTTGCAGATTGTTTTTGACGAATCTTTGGTTTTGGAGGCCAAATTTGTAGTTTAAATTAAAATAAGGAGATTTTCACTCTGCGCAAAAACTAACACCTGATAATCTTCTGATATGTGGTTTATTGCGCCGTTATTAAGAAACATATCTTTTGCTCACAGTGGCGAGCAAACGTCAATTTAAATTAGATTTGAAAACGATTATAAGGCTAATGCATACTACCGTACAATTAGATATAATATTTGTGTATGTGATATGCACACAGTTTATAGGCCGGTGGTTTCTATTGACTTATGATGGGGAATGGAATTGACTACCAAGCATCTTCACTAAATTACTCGAAACCTCGATTACCAATTTTGGGAATCTTTGACAACCATATCAAAAATAGCTTAAGGTGGTCTTTTTGGAACTCAAAAGGGCGACACTTTTAAATTCTGACGAAAACGGAAAGAAAATGCCGAAAATTCATTTTTTGAAACGTTCATCTCTGAAGCTTGTTCAACACGGAACATTTAATCTTCCCCTTAGTGCAGTTATATATATATATATATATGAAAAGTTCTTCGAATGGCTTCATATAACACTAATTACGGCATAAAACTTTAAGAAAGAAACATACTTTCTGATTCAGGGTATTTGGATAGTACCGATACGGTATGTGGCTTGATAAAATTTTCAACCTCGCAATCTTCGCTTCGAATTACATATAATGCAAAGGAACCAATGTGGCCTCGAGCTTTCAAATTTGTCAATAATATTCCTATAATACAATTAGCGCTTCAAACAAAAATACATCATCAACTCATGATCTTGACCATTGAATAAATGTTTTATTAATGTCACTCGGTGGGCTGAGTGAAATAACCTAGGTATCTTAGGCACACTTGCAAGGACCTTAGACGACTTGAGCTTCATGTATGTATCTGCATGAGACGTATATCACTGATCAAAAATTAAACTATTGCTGCTACACTTTGAGTAACACCATATTACAGCGAAATCTGTGACATGTTGATCAACTCATTTAAGCAAATTGAAATGTCGTTGTCCCTTGAAGCTAGCAACATTTAATGCCTGTTGTGTAAATTATTACTTACGCTACTGTTTGGCCCTGCAGGATTATGTCCCATAGCACATAGCTTTTCACATAGTTTCACATAGTTTCAATATTCATACTTAGTTTGCTCTGCATTTATCTCGTTCTTTATTAGAATACGTGTTAAATCATAATGTACATTTTGCCGAATTACTTCAGTTGATTATACATAGAACCTGTAAACGAATTGTTCGGTATATAAATATTGTTGAATAGTTCTTTGTATATCTCTGTTGTTGCTTTTAAGCTGGATATCCCAAAGGCGCCGGCACTGGGATTGATGCTTGAACAAGTACATTACGATCGATACAATAGTAACTATGGAGGGGATGGTATGCACGAGGAGTTAACATGGACAGAGCGTCAGCCGGACATCCATACTTTTAAGCACTCATATATTTATCCAAATATTTGGAGCACCGAAAAGAACGATGACAGGTTAGTATTTTAAAATTAGGACATCGGACTCGTCTTATTTAGGTTTATAGATGCAGCTATAATTATAATAAACCAAGATTTCAGAATGCGCCTATGAAATAATACAGGTTGGTGGTGTCCTCCAATGTTCTTTAAGGCCATATTAAATGACCTACTGTGATATCTGTGTGCATGGACCGCGCTCTGTTGATGTTTTTTATCCTGAGCAGAATGGTGCCAAACTATTCTACCAAGTCCGGCATCAATATTATGAGGTCCGATCATTTCACATTAAAATCAAAGGATGTGAATAATTATACAATTTCATCATTTTCTGGCTGCGGGTGTGGAACTGAAGATGTCCTCTAACCAAGATATTACGTGTGCTCCGGTATATATGGTATGCGGAGTTAGTGAAATTTTGATTGTTTGACATGCTGGACGAGTTTCCATCAGCGTGGCCTTTAAGTTAGAAACAAGATGACTGTCATCGCATAAATTTATTCATGCATAGAATTGTCATATCATGTCCACCTTGTTTGTTCCTATCATATATTATCTTGACTTGAAGAACGAAAGAACTTGACCTCTGCAGAAAGCTGAAGTTATTTCAAAAGAAAGTTTCAAACGTTTTTAAGCAAACATATATCTTACGTTCCCTATCTTTGTCTTGTGTGTTACAGTATGGGGTCATGGATGGCCTACTTGCCTTTACACTCGTATGATGTACGAGAGCACGAAGTTAAGGCATTATGTATGCACCAGATTCAAGAGGAAGACTTTGAAGCCGGTGATCCAGACGACGACAGTATAATAATAAACAAATGTCAAGAACCTCGACCGCCAAGATAAGAAAGAGGAAGTTATCCAATTAGATATCTCATAACTTTTATGTCCTAATTAGACAAGACATATTATACTTTGCTTCCACGAAGTGTTCGGTCAATAGCGTCATCTTATTCTTTTATCCTCTGCCTTCGTTGTTTGAAATAACTTTTATTTGGTACATCGGCTTGCTCCAATTTTATACTAGTTTTGAGAACAACAAGTATGAATGTTTCAGTTGTTGAACCTATGAGGTAGTCAATTTGGCAGTAGAATTAGTGAAATGGTTCTATGATGGTTATACAAATCCTTTGCATCATAGTAAGTGCTGAAAATAAATATTCAGTGAGACCATATAGTTGTTTTGATTTGCATATAATCGAAAGTGTTTTTAAAAACTATTGCTCGGATGATTAAAAGGTTTATACAATTAAGATGACGAAAAACGGAACTGGTTGCGGGGCTTGCGCCGCATTTACACAAGTGAGTGCAGTCCTAAATGAGACACACAGAAGCCGTTTTTAGTAAGGCACTACATATGCATACCCTTGATTCACTCATTATATGTGCTACTCTAATTAGGGTATGGGTAACACTGTTAAACCTATCGTAATGCTTCTTCCTGGATGAAGTCCCTTCTAAAAATGATCAAAATCTATTTTTTTATAGGCTTATCTGGGTAAACTCAATTTAATGCTAAAAATGTTAGAACTTCACTACAGACCTAAACTGTTACCGCTTTGGTCTCTATTACAGCTCTTACAAGTCGCCGAAATCTTTATTTATTAACATTCTTTATTAACAAAATGCTACCTAGTACTCCTTCTCAATACATAAGTCGTTTCCTCAGTGCTAATTATCTAACTGCTCCGTCTTATAGGCTGCAGTCACAATTTGGCCTGACCTGAAGATTCTTAGCACTCTGACCGACACTTCAACCTAATAATTGATTTCGTCACGACATTATGACCGTCGAAACTTTACTCCTCGTCAGAACTTCAACTCGATCGCCTCTAAAGCGACGTTTCCCGTCATTTATTACATTAAATCCCCCGAAATTTTATTTTATTATTAATGATTTTGCTTCGAACGGATCTGCCCCAAACCAATTATTTCTAATCAATACTATTTACTGCTTTTTGACAATCTTCGATATTTTATACGCTTGTTTAATGTGGTCGTAATTTAGCTATGAATACAATATAGCTCTATGCAAAAATTTTGCATAAAGTTTTGTTTTAGTCTATAATCTTGTTGTATTATATCCTAGTGCAAGCTTGTTTGCTCTGGCAGTTTTCTCTAGGATACTTAGCTATCTCCAGCGCATTTCATCTAATAGAAAACGTGATCTAAAATACACGCAAGTCATAATCAATATTAATCAAATTTCCATAATACGTAGAGAGCTCCATAAATTCACTTCCTAAATTTATGCTAAGGTATTTGGATGTAAAAACTTGTCGGTATGTTTAACTTAAAACAACGACAGAAAACAAAAATGTTCTGACAATTGGTTATAAGCGAGTCTACAGGAAGAAAAGGGTTAATAACATTTGTTTCTACTGTTGTAATCTGTTACAATAACCGACTGATAAGACAGCATATATATACAGGGATTTTAAGTCTAGATTTCCTTCGACTGGTCTTCAACAGTTTCATAAGCACATCATCTATAGGTTGAGCTAGTGAACGAGAGCTCGCTCCATTGAGGATATAAACAAGCTTGTAGCCGTGGCGGAAAGCAGTGCGCCGTCATCGGAATTTGAGTAGCTATTATCTAGTCTCTCCAGGTTAGACGAATTTCCACACAGATTAAAAACCGTTTTGAGAATTTACATTATTTAAGGTTTTTACGTGGTTTTCGAAAGATTCAAAGGATACTTCCAAGAGGTAAATCGAAAGCTTCTGAATAGACTTTAAATTTAAGAGACTCGGAAAATCGAAAATCGGTTTAAAGAGCTACTTTTGATAACTTCTGATTTTTGATACATAAAATTAGAGACCATTATTGAGAGAATTTTTGAGACCAATTGGACCGATCAGCGGAGCTCGAATGATCGAGATGGCTCTTTTGCTTCTATTGAAGTTTTTGGTTTCTTAAACAATTACTTTTTGAAGTTTAGTTTAGTGAAACACGATTACTATTGAAAAATTTTTGTAAAGCAAAAAAAAGGGATAGTTTAAACTTGACTAATGAAATGTTTAAGTAATGAATTGGAAAAGTAGTCAAGATAAACGAAGTTACCTTGGTGAAACACGACCGCCAGGAGCAACAAATGCAAAAAAGATCGTTGAAGTGTCTGTTTTTCTCTGCATACAGCCTTAGAAGCAACATATAATATTGTACTGTATGTACATTATAGTTTATTGTGAAACATGCTTTCTAACTTCTTAATTGAGTTTGTATTCAGACACGCACATGATATCCCGCTGTAAATAAATGAATGTTTAATGACTTATGGTCACCGAAAAAGCACTGTCTTCAAAGATCCAGCAAAGTTCAGGTGATTGTAAGGCAGTGTAGTTGTTTGCACGAGGTTTTTCACACCCACTTTTCAAACCAATCTGAGTGGATTCAAACTTGTGGATAAATTTGTACAGACTTCTTGAATTTTTGGAAGTTTTATAACCTTTGAAACGGTTGGGTATTTATAGGGCAAAATAGACTTAACTCCAAAATGCAGTATGACGTTATATGCTGCCTCGCTGTACCTTCTTACCGCACATAGCCCTTTGATCTCAATATCTCTTATAAAACTTAGCTTCATATGATACTCATGTGAAGTTCACGAAAGATTATCCCTACCGAACTTCTGGCTAGAAGCAAATTTAGTCCCGTACCTACTGCGTTATTATTATTTTACTACTATTGTACTGCTGGATTATATTATATTAATAATACTGCAATAATGGTTTGTTAATAATTAAGAAACTTACATCCTTTTAAGTAAATCCGTCTAAAAAAATATTATAATAACATAATAGTGGGAAACAGAAACAGTCAGGTTAATGACTTAAGCATTACTATTAAGCAAAATTTTTAGTACGTTAATTAAGTGAATCTTACACTATTGTTATTATTATTACTACTATTATTAAGGGTTATTATCATAGAGGCTCGTTGCTATTTGCTCATACCAGGTTCCATTATGTTGCAAGCGCGGCACATATATGTTATATTAAGGTAATTCCGAGGGACTACACACTGATGTTCGTTGAGTTATATTAATGTGTAAGGTTTGAAATGCAACGGTTTCATCCAGTAATCTAGGGCATCCGCTGCGTTACAAGAGGAGCGATAACATTACCATTGAACCTCAATTTCATACGTATCTCTTTCACCAGCAGCCCATTGAAGCCAAAGCTCGTTGCTATTGAGGAACTTGCCAAAAATGTAATAGCTAGTTGAAAATGAAACTAATATTATAAATCATAACGAGCTATATTGCGGCAGTCCAATCTACGGTCATCAAATACTTTTTCTTCTCGAAACCCATGCCTACTTCTTTACTTTAGGTTAATAGAACAGAATATTTCTAACTTCTTCTGCAACACTAGTTCAGACTAATTTCGGTTGGGTTTGCTTATAATAAAATCAAGAACGCTTGCATGATGTGGCTTAAATACGCCCAAGAACGTTCATGCACCTGCCTGTTTATAACCAAGTATATTTTTGATGATTGTTCAAATTTGGCGCTTCGACCATCTAAGTAAGAGAGTAGCGTCATAGATGACGTGAACCATGACGACGACTGTTTTTAGTCAAATTTTGGCGCGCATTTTAACAGATATCCATTACAGGCATTTGGCGTCGGTCAATTGTTGTTGAGCTTACTGTCTTGGATCTCTGTCTCGGTGTGACTATTTTCTAAGATGTACCAGAACGAGGTTAAAACCGCACCAAAGATTCGTTTTGCCAGGCTTACCGAGCATGCCATGGCTCCTACGCGGGGTTCTGCAAATGCCGCCGGATATGATCTGTACAGGTGCGTTATTTTGTTCTTCAATAGTGTTGTCGTTCTTAGGAAGATCGCAAAGATTGGGCCGATAAAACTCAAACTACGCGAAAACAAGGTAATTAATTTAATACGATAACGTACTGGATTCGAAAAAGAACAATGTTGTTTCCTTTCACAAGGGAAGTTCCCGTGACATCATAGAAGGGTTCGGTAAGTAAAAATTTGTCGAATTGACTATTGATATATATATATATATATATATGGAAGAGGTTCTCGAGGCGGTGAGAACGGAATTTTGGTATCTATTGCTATACATTTCACATATGGCACATATGTAAAGTCATAGTATTCGTTCTTGATGTTTCTAATTGTAGTGCTTATACGTATACTGTGCCTCCTCGGGGAAAGCAGTTGATCATGACGGACATTCAGATTGCGGTGCCAGAGGTAAAGTTTGTTTTTAAAATCGCAGCTTTTGTGGTTTACAACAGAGAATACATAAGGTGTAATCGCTGACATGGCATAGGATGGCGTCCGTATTTTGTAGGAGCATAGCTCATAGTTAGTCGCGCGTTTTCATCCACTTACTATACTACAAAGAATGTGCGTTAGTTCTTATATGGTATAAAGACATACACAGTCACAAAGACGACAGCTGATCTTCTGACTTTCTCCTGCAGCATGTTAAAAATTATAAGGCAAGACTAAATAAAGTTTCTTCGAGTAAATGTATTTTAGTTAGCATTCCAACTTTGTCATTTTGTTTTGTCATCGGTTTATAAAAAAATGTTTTCCATTAAATAGAAAAGCATATTAATGTAAAAAGTTTATTAAAAAAATTAGTTAATTTATTATTTTAAAGGGATGCTATGGACGCGTGGCGCCACGATCTGGTCTCGCGTTGAAGAACTTTATTGATGTTGGGGCGGGAGTCATCGATTACGACTACCGAGGTAAGCTCAATAGGTATTATCATGCATAAGGTATACTAGGGACAAAGATTATGACCGCATGTAGAAATAGCTCTATTTATTAATTGCAAATAGACTTAAAACAGCGATTCTTGAAATTCAATTGAAGTCTTGGTCGTTCAAAGATGCATGGCCCATATAAATCAAATTACGTTTCTCATCAAAGCAGTTACTAATATCAACGTTCGAAGGAAGTATGCTGTCTCTTACTAGCGCAATCTTATTTACTCATTTCTTTCTCAGTTCATTCATTTCCATGAGCTATATGTTTTGGAACCGTTTTTGTGGTTTTGTTGAATACACATATTCTACGGAATTATAGAAACTTACTGAGCTAATACATGTGAGTGATCGATGAATGGGAATAATACGACGAATGTTAAAAAATAGACACTTGTCCCTTTTTTTCTGTCAGCGACTAAGTAATTATAAGGTATGATTGGATGATAGACATTAAAATAATTTGATATCACCTAATATTTGTCAGCTGAAAATTTAGGTGTTCAATGTAATGTAGTTACATAGTAAAAATTTACTTTCTGAAACTCAATTTTTTGCTTAAGTCAATTCGTTGCGCCTTTTATTTATGCAAATATCATCTAGTATTTCCTTTAGCTCTGTATAGAATTTATTAATCTTATTTGGTTTCTCTCATAAAACAAAAATTATTTTTTAAACCTCTCTTTTGTAATAAATTGTCTTGAATTGGAATATGATTTTAATGAAAATCGCTTCATTTTACTTCGTTTACTAGCGCATCGCACCTATTTTGTATATTCAGTAGCGGAACATATCGAATTGTTATATATCGTATTTTTTTCAGTGAACGCTACATATCGCAGTCAAAGTAGCACCACTTTAATAATGCATTGTAGTAAAGTGCTGATCTTTTGTTTTGAAATTTAGTACTACCGAGTGATGCCTAACAACTGGATGCAACAATCTTGTTGCTTGTTTCAAAGCATTACCGTGTCTTTGTTTCATATATATAACATATGTATAATATATTTGGCTATTACTTTAAATACTAGGACCTGCTACGCTTTTATATATGATAAGAAATCCTATAAAGATATTATGTCCGGGTAATCACGAAAGTACCCGCAGACTCCCTGCTCATGTTAGGCTATCGAATGAATGACTTTAAATATAACAAGCTATAGGTTATCGTTTCGTTTCAGTCTGTATGTATTCTAAAGAATAACAATGAGATAACTACTCGAGCACCCTTGCTCGATAATTTCGATCACTATTGTATGGTTGAGTGTTATAATTCAATAAAGAAGCCTGTCCTTTCATAACAATATTGTTAATTATCTTTTTGCAAAAACAAGGTGGGGTTAAGGAGAAAAGAAATAAGGTTTAGTAATTTTATCAATCGTAAAAGTTGTAAGGGATGAGTGAAATTAGTAAATTGGACGTGTTTCTTCCTTTGCAGTGAGTGGAGTATTTGATGAGTGGGTTAATAGATGCATAAAAGTTGTAAGGCGTCGTCTCTGTTAAGTATATTATTACCGATGCTAACTAAACTTGAGCATCTGATTAGTTGATTGAGATTAGGAGAGCACTAATATTGATTAAAATACAAAAATGACTAATCATGCGCGTTAGGTCTAATCATATTTTTTACGTCTAACAAAATGCCGCGGCCGACAGTAATACTAAATATGAACTGTGCTGGAATGATCTCTGTGTTTATCGGAATTTGATCGCTTTAATGAATGTTCGGCAGATTAAATCAGCTGTACTCAAATACTCATCTTGTGAAATGTATTTCGGCTAAAACAGTTAACACTTTAGTTATACTACATATTGTTAATAAGGCTTAATAAACAACTTTCAATGCTTTTCGTTTCATTTGCTCTTATCGACAGGCAATGTGGGTGTTGTACTCTTCAATTTTGGCGTGGAAGAGTTCAAAGTCGAAAAGGGAGATCGCATTGCGCAGCTGATCTGCGAGCGCATCTTTTACCCGGAGATCGAAGAATGCAAAACTCTAGATGAAACTACACGCGGAACTGGCGGTTTCGGTTCAACCGGCACGAAATAAATTAGTGATCAATAACTGTCAGTAATCTTTTATGTCTACTCTATCACAGAACGAATCGCACAAATTTGCGAATTCTGAAAAAAACTAAAAAGAGAACCATCGAGTAGTGCTCGATTTTATATTTCCTGAGGCAGAGTTTGCTAAAATGATTTCACAGAACTACGTCTAAAGAGACTGCATAAGTAAATAACATCCGTGTTGAATGGACAATTGAAAAAAAACAGGTATTTATACACACATTAGGAAGGGTTGTTTATGAGAGACCTAAGCTTTAGCCGGACCTTCTTGCGAAGATAACGAGCATGATATAATTAATTGTTAAAGAGCAAACTAAAGACTATAGTAAACTTTAAATCTATTTTTTAATCTTTCTGAGTGTTCCTTATATATGTTCCATATTCTGGTACTATTACAAATTATATGACCCGTTAAAATTTCCTTTTTGTAGGAATTTCTAGAAAAATATTAGTTATTATCGGTAATGCATAACAGCAAATGTAGGGTGAGACAATATTAGTTTAAAATGTATTAGGGTGGTATAATGAAATTCGAATCCAATGAGATTACTTGGAAATGTTGTATTCATGTTCTATCCTTTTTATCAGGCCGCCTTATGTATTACCATATGTATTTCTGATCTATCATTTCGACGTGTCTATGATCCATATCTACATAGTAGTTAAGCACGAAAATTTAAAAAGTAAAATTTCAACCCGACGTTTTTATTAATAAAACGTTGGGTTGAAATTTTCCGGTTTTCTATTCCGAAAAAAGTCAAGCTCGCATATATTGTATACATATGCAAGCTTGACTTCAGTGATGCAAGTCAATTGACTTATATAAGTCAATTTCTAATAATTTTATTATTCTTTGTGGTTTAGTCTAATCCGAAAAAGAAACTCGATGATAAAAAAATAGATAGCTCAGAGTTATGACTCAAGAAAAATTACATTAAAGAATTGCTATTATTATTATAACGCGAGTTAGTAATACATATTGCGCGGAGAAGCTACCATCATGAAAGAGGTAAAAAAGTAACAATCACCTCTTCTCGAGCTGTCGTCTTGTGCCCTCAGACACCACTATAGCCTTGTCCAGCAAAAAAAATTGTGTCAGTTGAACTACTACTAAAACAATAGCAACTATATACTCCAATTTAAGTACACTTTGAATAAGCATCCGTGGGAAATGATCCAGAAAACCGCGCTAGCTATTCCAACTCTCGTCTACAGTTTGGCTCGAAGAAAACACTCTGCGATAAAAAGCTTACGTTGAAGCTTTCTTTTTTCATTTAGTCAGTTATTAGAGGAATTGAACAAACTGTAAACAGCGACGAACAAACAATTTGGGGTTTAGAATACAGAAAAAATAAAGAAATGCGACATGTAGTAAGTCGCAGGGTTTTGAGCGTCGTTATTATTATGAGACCCAAAAATGAATGCCACTAACAAGCAAGCACTCCGGAGATCAGGAACCTTGGAACCAAAAGAGCGCGGATCAATAAATAAAAAAAGAGAATAATTTAAATCGAATTAGTTTCCGGGTGTGCTTCTATTGAAAATGCTTAGGACCCCAGAGCGGTGTAAAATAGCCATTTCGTTATTCCGGCGATGGAGCTGCCGAATTCCGACATGAAAACGCCATAATGCCAATGAGACGAGCCTGTGCTACTTTGTTTCGACTTACATTTTCGATTCTGTTAGTAGGATAGACCAAGACGTAGTAGTTAGGTCGTAGGTTTCGCTATTGTTAACCAAGAAGCGAAGGAGAAATTTCTCACTATCAGAGCCACATTTAGCGCAAAAAGAGGAAGTAACTACGGCGTAAACAGTTGTGGACTGCGGGAGACTTGCTCATAGAGGTTTCATATATATACATATAGACTTTTTGTGAAGGGTTTGAGTACTGTAGCTTACATGCGACAGGCACCACCGTAGCGTAATATTTGTAATATACGACGAGTGTGAAGCTTAGCCCTAGCGGTTGGACTTATTCCAGTCGAGACCACTACTTACTAATCTAGGCGACCTAGATCATCATTCATCACTATTACAGGCTTACAAGAAAAAAGGCTAGTACCACCGAATCATTAGGCCGGGATCACTCTAGTGAGGTTCCCTACCTCCCCAGACGAGCTAACTTTCTACACGGAAGTATAATCTCCTCGTGCGTCCTCTGAACCTAACAAAGCCTGTCATATTGCTCAGTTGTAATATAATAAACCTATCTTTTCCTTTAAGATTTTCTTCAGCGAAGCTTTAACCACGTTTTGTACACCTCAGTGATCGTATCATAAAGGATGTAATCCCCGCATACCACTTCCTAGGGACAGTATTGTCTCGCTTGTCATGTGCCTTTCTTCATAAATGGGTAAGCGCCGTGTAAGTCGTTAGCGTGTGGTATGCTGCATGTTTCAGGCCCACAATGCACAAGACACAGATGTTCAGTAGGGGGTTACTGATTTTGTAAAGATAGCTTTTAAAAGCTCCATGACCCATAAGGACTTGCGGAATTATAAATAAGCTCTCTACCGGAACATGCAATTTCTATGTAAGGGATGATGTCTTTCATTGCTGTTCCCAGAATACAGTATTGTTTCCGATATTCTCACTGCATTCTGAAGGCTTATCTTCCATACCATCCGTCAGATTCTGCACGAGCATGCACCTTTTTTAACTCTCAGATGTCAGAGAATGGGACCTGTGAAGACTAAGGCCGCGTTTGCGCTAGCCGTGTGGTAGGCTTCAATAATTCTAAGCGCAAGGGTTAGTTGGGCACTTCACGTAGGTTTTTAACTATGGCTCTATAGTTTCGCGCATTGTACCAATAGATGCACGAAGTGCTCTACCAAATTTCCTATTGCCGTGAGAAGCTTCTTCTGTTTTTCTCGTAGGCCATTAATGCCGGGCAGTATTTTGATAATTCTTACAGGGGCTGTAGTTGTTCTTGTGACAGCTTGCTTAATATGGTGCACTTCTTTCAATGTGTGATCAACTTAGACGTTCAAGCATCTCGTCATTTTTAGCGGGTTTATTTTTTCCCCGTCCGATCTAAGTGTAAGAAACTTGCGTTTTTTTTCTTGCCGATATGTACTATAATCTCTGACTTTGCAAACGTCAAAGATAACTCGTGTTATTCTATTTATACTAAGACCTCTTTTAAGATCCCGCTTGCTTTCCTTTAGAGTTCTTTTGCGCTCCGGGCTTAGATTGTGGTAGCAAGATCATCTGCATAGGTAGTGATTCCTATTTCCAAAGGAAAATTGCTTAGCCTTAGCATCTCATGATAAACCGAAATCCCCAGAAGGGAGCTAAAATAAACCTTTGTGTAACTCTTGCTGTTATAGCAAAAATAGGTTCTTTATTGGCTACCAATATGTCCCGTAGGTAGTCTGACACAAAAGAGACTAGGGAGAACGAGGAATTTTATCTACCTTTAAAAGTTTGAGCATTGTGTTCCGTAGCAGACTACTAAAAGCATTCTTAATATCTACAGTGATCGTGAGAAATAGGCCTTTTACTTTAATCGAGTTTTCCCTCGTCTTCTCAGCTCTTCTGATGACCTTATCGATTCCTGTCAACATCAACCCGCGTTTTCGGAAGCCATGCTGGCTCCTATAGAAAAAACCTCCTTCTTCGGCGATTTTTCTGAACTTTTGCCTTGTTGTAGTTTCGACGATTCTTGCCATGTCACCCTTCCCATGCATTTAGTTCTTTTACTTTTACCGATCAGCACGACATCATCCTTTTCATTCTGATGTGGAATGGTCTGAGTTGAGGATCTGTATGGCAACCACAGTGATCATGTCAGAAAAGTTTTTGTTAGGAGTCATTGAAGCTATGGCCGGGGTCTTGTCCAGACCCGGCACTTTACCCGTTTTGAGTCATTCTTCTGCCTGGAAAAGCCCCTTCCTTGTAACAAGTGGATCTTTCCTCACAATTTGGGCCTGTAATTATTCGCCAGGTCAACTAGAAGGCTGGTCCAATGGTCTAAATGCAATAAACTTCTGCATTAGAACAGACATCCTGCGTACTTTCTTTCTTACAAGCCTATTAAGGCAACTCATGGGCTTTCCTGTATTTCTTGTAGAAAATTTTTCTAGCAGTTTCTCTTGCTATTCCGGACATATATCTTATGTGCCGCTTTACTTTATCTGTAATCCTAGTAATATATAATAACCACTTGAAGCGCTTCTAGATCGTCGCCGGCTATGACTGATTCTCGTTTTGAGTTTTCTCCTAGCTCGGTCTTAGACTGTTCTACTTTGAGCAATTTTTTCATTCTACTAGTAATTTGGTTTCCAGCTCTGATTTACCTTCCGAGGCCTTCTTATTCAGCCGAGTGCTACTAGAAGTCGCTGTAGATCTTCTCCACTTTGTGCTTCTTCATAGTCGTGTACCCTGCGTTTTTGATTTCTTTCGTACCTCATTATTTCAGACACACCAGAGACGTTTTGCTACTAGGACTCTCCATCCATCAAGCCAGGTCACCTTGCATGTCGCGAAGTATACGAAGGGAGAACTCGCGTGATCTTGAAAGGTTGGCACGCCACATTGCTGGTCCTTGCGTGGCCATTCATTCTAACAGCTGCCGATTTCATGCCGATGGTGCTCATTGTCGTCTCAAAGTTATCACACTCAGCAAGGTCAGCCGGCTGACCTGTGGTGTTTATCAGTGTCGGGACCTTATTAGCAAGCAAATGAACCTACTCCACTTACCTGCATTTACATGCGAGTTTTTTCCGTGACCCTTCGAACAGGTTGTCGTACCTGTAAGATGTTCGTTTTGCACATCGTCTCATCACGGTCGTACCATAGGTGCAGTCCTTCAGAACGTTCTCCAATAATCATTGCTGGAAGCGTCTGTTCATGACAGTCTGATGGAAGCATTGAAACGCATTATGCCTTATCTTTCGACATCGCAAGCAACAGAGCACCCCGATCCATTCCATCATCTGGTGAGAAGTCCATTCTATGCACAATATGACTACCAGGCCCAGACTAGCTGTCAGCGGCGCCCTTTATTGGTTGTCAACGGAACAGTTTTTATTTACTAGAACGTTTCAGATAATTCTCCATCTTTTGTCACTTTTTTGTCACTTCCTCTTATACATAGGCTTCTACAATCGTCTATATCCGGCAGAATGTGGGACTTTTGCATGACGGGACCGATGAATAACGCTAAGGGTAGTAGGATCGTTTGAATTGCAACGTTCATGCCAAGATTTTGAATTCCCCTGCTTTTGAAATGACTTCTCGAGTTTGACAGATCGCGTGTACGATTTAAAATTTGCTAAAAGGCCATGGACATTAGAATTATAGCGAAACTAGCGAAACTGAAACCGGAGATATATATATATATATATATATAGATTCAAGTGTTATATATCAAAATGGACACCAATTATATATGTGTATATATACATATATATATATTCGGTGTTCATTTTGACTTTCAGCAAACTCGTATGGTAGATTTAGGAGTGAAAAAAGCGGTTGCAATCGTTTGGTAGTAAAATATCGTAGTGAGTAACACATTACTGTACCAGGAAATCTGCCCCCCGTTATCAACAAAATATGTTACAGAAACAAGAACTGCCCATGCACTGACGCTAAGAAAGGACCGTCAAGCTACTCCCGGATTTTTCACTCTCTCGAGGACCACATGGCATCGTAACAATGTAATGGTAGCCTATTTGCTTACTAATCTGAATGGCAGGTAGGGTAAGCTAGATGCAAATGCGGCATCGACATATGATGTTCCAGTAAAAAGTCCAATGAATAAATGAAGTGATGAATATAGTAGGTCCTTACCCTGTTCGATCCCTGTATTATTCGTACCGAGCCTGTTAATCCCTCTGATCTCTGAAACAACGGCGTTGAGGTAGTCTTAAGAGGAAGCTTAAAAATCAGCCCTAGTAAGGATCTAAGATTGTAAAGCCTATACTAGGCATTGTAGAATAAAAATTAACTGCAGTTCCTTTGACCGAGTCGTTAACCAAAATGTAGAATGTTAAGGAGAAACCCTGTCACCCTCAAAGACATTGATGTCCACTGTAAAATACGAAGGAAACAGATGGTTTAAAAATTTCTTAGACTTATGCAATTAAAAAAGTTGAATGATAAAAAAATGCTAATATTGTAATATAGCTATTGTGAGTATCGAAAGAACTATCTGAGTACTTCGATACAATTTATTAAACACTATGGATATCATGTAATGTCTGATAAAGAAAAAACAACCTGACAATAAAATGCGTTCTAAAATAAAAGGATTATGATGTCTTGTAATTCTAATACTGATAAATACTGAAATACTGATAAATCAATGAAGTAAGTGTCTTTTATCTTTCACGATTTAATGCTAACAGTTTGTGAATTTATCTGGTATCTAATGGCAGCACCGGTTTGTGCTGTTCAGTATTTAGATTTTAGTAGAAAATTAAGCGGATGTAGGAAACTCGATTCTTGGCATCTGGTTGAATTCCAGCGGTGTTCGCAGTTGCTGCACATAATATATCGCACATGTAATTACCAATCAAATCGTCATAGCACTGGATAAAGGTGATATTTATAACAGTGGCACAAAAGAAATACCGATGATTGATGTCCAATCCACCTTCATATTTCAAGTTTTATGCCCGTTATCGCCGTTAAGCATTCCATCAGACAACTAGCACCTAGCACAAAACGAAGCTTATCAGTGCTTGGGTTCGATCCATCTAACGGCAAACAAACATTTAGACCAGGGTCTTAATTGGAAACTATGCACATTTTTAGCTAAGCTGCTACTGTTCCCTAGATTCTTCATCGTTTCACAAGAGAAAATTTTAATTTATTGCTTTGTAAGGGCTTATCGGCGCGGTATAATTGAATTTCGATTAGGTAACTCGAGTTCTTGAGTCACAAAGGTTGTTGCGATATATCATGCAAGCTTTAAAATGTGCTTATCGGCTGAGATTCATGCTGAATGTCAGATGGCCAATACTCTACGGTAACGTGTGGTCCCGGAGGTCCCTGTACTCTTGTATTCGGATTACGCGTGCTTACTCTAGATGACAAACACGACCCTGCTGAGCACAACATAGGCTTTACCACGCTCACATGAATGTTGGTCAAGAGTGCTTGAATAGACGCAAATAAAACTTTGACATTGCCTTGAAGCTTATAGCTCCTCAAAAAAGCTCGAAACTGCTGTGTACTGCATTTTTCACCTACTGGTGAAAACGTATTTGAAATAAGCCTAATTCAACAAACGGCTTAATTCTTATTCGCTATTTTTCTTGACTACAGTACAACCAGCGCTTTTTAGCATAATATGTAAGGTGTGCTGAAATTGCACTTACCTTCTAGGCACTCAAACTTCTAAGAAATATTGCTTTGACCACCCCAGCTCAATACACAAGAATCGTTCCGCATAACACTTATTAGAGATTATGCTGAAGACGCACATTTAGATTCTTCACTTGTAGATACTCATTATCATCTGCAGTCTTTGACAGACAAGGCCACGGCGAAATCACTGAAAAGAGGAGGCAGCTTTGTCGACTGAAGATCAGTCCAACCGTAGCTTTTTTTGGAGGCTATACATGCAGGCGTAGACTTAAAAATAGCTTCATTAAGTATGAACGAAAGATGCAGTTGTGTCTCTTGCAAAAGCCGAAGTTGAAACCAAAGTTCTAAAAAGCATTAGTCCATTTCACGGCGAGGGAAGTGCCTTTTTTTACCTTGGCGTTCGATGTGTTTACCTGTCTCTGGTGGAAGTTAGCGTGCATAAAATTTTTGACCGCGGATATAAACATTCTTCATTTTATCGCGCATAAAATGTTACATATAGCGATGTCAAAAGTGAATATATGCTTCATACTAAAGTTATAATTAACACTACTAATATAAAAATATCAAATATTAGACAGCATAAGAACAATAAGTAACTTCGATTCTTAAATGAATAAATAAAAGAAGTTGAGCCTCAATATATGTATTTATAGATATGACGAGCACTGAAGAGCTTAAGTCGTACTTTATGGTAGTCTGAAGGCTCCTGGAAGATGATCTGGTGACAATATATAATAAAAGGCGAAGACATGACACTCGCAGATTTTTGCTCTTTTGTCTAAACTTGTTTGAAATTGTCGAATATTCAAAAAGACCGAAAGCGTATTGATTTTTTATCACAGAAAGTAACTTCACCAACACCAAAATTGAGACCTTTAATTACTTAACTCTATTTATAATTGCATTACGTGTACGATTGAAATTATGAAGTATGTTTAAATTTGCAACTTCAAGTTTTCGTTTATTTATCTAAAAATCGCAGTTTCAAACGATGTTGATTCGAAGCTTGCTTTAGTTCATAAGCTCTACGTGTAGACATGCTTTTACTAAAATTAATATACACACAATAACAGCCAAAATGAACGAAGTCGGAAGAAAGAAAAGTAGAAGAGAATTGTAAAAATATAGATTATAATAAAGAAAAGACGTATAAAAAAAAACGAAATTAAATTAGATGATCACAATTGTATCGTTAAACGTAATTAAAAAAAAAATATCGTAAGCCCTTAGCGTTGCCTATGCTAAAAAAACTTGCTCACTTGTGTATGTGGGTCATTTTTAGTCTCTGAAAATAACTTGAAAGAAATTAGTGCCCATATATCTGAAATGTATGTGTTTACGTGATAGACTTTGTAGACACACTGATCAAGAATAAAAGAAAGAAGAACAACTCCAGTTTGAATCCACGACGTTCTTGATTTAGCAACCACGCATTGAATGAACGAAAACCAGCCATCAACTTTCAAATCTTGCTGAGGCCTTTCTTAAAAAAGTATTAAATCGGAGCCTAAGTTTTATGTAGGAAATTTTTGTATTAAAAACTTTTGTGCAGTCCTAATGCTGTTAAAACGGTTTTGTTTAGTTTATAATTAATATTAGTTATTGTTCATTACCCACTAGTCTCTAATGAATATAAACACAGATAATCAAGGGCCTTCACGCAGAACGTGTCTCAAATAAATATGTAAAAAAAAACTCAAGCACCGTAGATATCATACACACACGTTTTGTTTTGCGCCGTTTTGTGGTATACCGCGGGTAGCAGCTAAATTCTGAAAAATACATAATTATAACAAGATCAAATTATCGGCCTACCTACGGTGAGCCACTTGATTGGGCAGCTGGTTTTTTTAATCTCCAGTGGTGTCAGCTAGATTTACTGTTGTTGATTTTTATTATGCAATTCTACTGTGACCTGCTCCAATACAGTGATGAAGACATAGTTGAGTTGCGTGCGAGCTTGTTGCCAAATATAGTGTTTAGAGTAACGGAAATATACTACGTTACTACCCAAAGGAAGACAGCTTATTATATACATGATATTATTTGGAATGGGTATGTTTCGCGATAAATGAATATGGATAAATGGAGACTATGAAAGTGATTTTTTCAACTTTGAATATATACCGTTTAAATAACAGATAGATGTCCTAGCAAATAAAGGGGCTCTACGGTCTTCTCTAAGAGCACCTTTCACTAGAACATCTCTTCCACTTTATTGTAGTTTATCTCTGCTGAGTAACGTAAGTGTTTTACGGGTTCTTTCATACCTACCATAAGTACATTTTTTAGTTGTCCGTCAACTAGACAGACCCTACTGTGAGCTATTGCTTCGAATAATACCAATATGTGAATATCTACCCATCCTTCACATAGCGCGCAAATGTAGACGAAGCTTTTCGATCTGGTGGACGCATGACCGAAAAATCCCATATCCCATGAGCACCTAAGTGAGGCACTGTGATACCAGATGGCTCTGTCCCTGTCGTAATGCCGGGCATGATATTCCTTACTGCTACTCCCAACAAAAATTTGGAAAGTTTCATTTTATATCGAAGCTGACACTCCTCAATGTGAATGTGCTTTTCACAGACTCGAACGGGGAACTAAAGAGCGCCCAGTTATGAGCCCCCTTGCCTGGGTTCCCGTAATTATACCTTTAGATCTAGTGTGATTAAATAAAATACGAACTTAATACCAACTGCAGGAAAAACACGTCTCCGCATCCGCACATAGCTTCTTAATAGCAACCGTGCGTTGAGCAGTATTGGTAAGTGTAGACTCACTAATGATTCGCTCAAACGCAAAAAAAATTAGCTACATAAAATTTAAGGGCGACAGAAGGCCAAAAGACTCAAATATACAGGCGTTTAGAGAAGCTCAAAAAGCGTAAAAGGCTCAACAAGTACTTCAAAATTAATCGTTTAGGCTTATCTAGACAATTACATTTGTAATAGATGGTCTCCTTTCGATTGCAACCGTTTTTTTCTGTATCACTAATTCGAGACTTTCCGAAATGTTTTTGCGGCATTTTAATGCATTTTTGATCCTCTCAAATCTAGACGCTGTTCAAGTTGTTTACTCAAGTGCAGACTCTGTTTTGCTTTTGGACATGGAAATTTTCCACTGATTTCTCGGAATCAGCATGCTAGGGATAATGCAAATTGTCGTTTTTGGGCAAAGAAAGAAGTTTGCAATTTTAGTCGGGTTTGTCTAGTACGAAAACATTTAACGATAACTGATCCTCGCTTATATTCTGAAGACGAAACCTTTTATTTTCATAGTTAGTTTGTGGTTTTTTTCTAGGAAGTATTACCTTACTTGCACCAAAAATAACGCATGAAAAGATCCTCATATGTAAGGCGCAGGATCCAAATTCAGACAAATCTGTGGGCTGCTCGTTCTAAAGGATATGCGTTCATCCGCAATCCATGGTGTTAGAAGATTGCCAGGTTTTTCTTAAACAAAGTGTGGCAAAAAATAAGCGTCATTTGCGGTACTTGAGTGAAGATCACTTCAGCACAATGCAATGTGAAACCTGCTTCCGACAAAAACAATGCAGACTTTATAATCGAGATTTTAATTTCTTACGATTGTTTTTTTTCGATCAGGTTGTTAGAAAAAAATGTACGTTAGTAAAGTGACCGAAATATAAGTTTTTTACGAAGTTCTTAGTTATCTCTCTTATGACATCCTACAGATGCATATGTAACCAATAAAACTATTTGATCGGCGTCGTTTGCTCCTCAGTTCTTATCTTCGATTCTTTTCTGCCGAAAGTCAAACCCAAAAATGATCGTTGGCTTATTCATGATCTAGAGAATATGCCTAATGTGGGTAAAAACAAATCTCCTAGCAATGTTCAAGTTATGAGCGTGGTATGCGGTAA